CCTGCCCGTGAGCAATCTCCCAACTCATCTCTGTCAGAAATTTGTTGCGCCGCCCTTGGGGGCAAAAAACGGTGAAATCTAACGTACGAAACCAGAGGGCAGCACAGGATGCGATCGCACGATCCTGCCCGTGTGCAGTCTCCCAACTCATCTCTGTGATTACTTTAAATTACAGATACAAGACTGTAAATAGAACGATATATTTGTCAAATGGAGCTGCTAGAACTAAAAGACGTCAGAGCTGTTCCTGATATAGTACACACTTACTCAGAAAAACTTAGAAATGAATATACTCCATTAGTTATAGATAACGGTAAATTATGAGCATTTATAAAAAAATATGTTAAGATCCATTAAAAGCATCCTTCTGCATTAGGTTCATATAATTGTCGAGTTGGCTGGGCTACAGAAAAGGAGCCACAATTAATATTTAAGAATCTCATTGCAAAGCCTCGAAAGGAGCGTGGAAAAAAAGATGGAGAATTGCAAGTAGGAAATGATATAGCGAATATAGAAGCTGTACGATTCCAACTGAAAACGCAATTTGATCGAAATGTAGTGACACATTTTGAAGCACAGGAACAAATATTTGATTATACCTTTACACACATGGGTATAAACACCGAACTTTCAGTAAATCATCCAATCATCCTGACAGAAGCGTTTTTAAACCCTAATTATTCTAGGAATTGTAAGTTACATACCAATTGCAATAGAATTAGTTAAATTATTTAAGTGAAAGTAAATTACCCATCTTTTACAGTAATGGCAGAACTTTTGTTCGAGTGCTATGAAATACCGTCAATTGCATATGGTGTTGATTGTCTTTTCTCTTACCACCATAATAATTGTCCTTCTGATGGTCTGATTATTGGCTTTGGGTATCATACTACGCACATAATTCCTATACTTGATGGTAAACCGGATCCTGCTAATTCGAGAAGAATTAACATTGGCGGTTACCATATTATATCGTACATGCATCGTTTACTTCAATTAAAATATCCTGTGCATGTAAATGCTATAACGCCTAGTCGTGCAGAAGTTAGTAACATATTTATCTGTATATTTAATCAAATTTAGGACAATGTAATAATTATAAACATATTTGTAGGAATTGATCCATGAACATTCATCGATAGCATACGATTATCAAGAGGAAGTTTCAAAATGGGCTGATCCAGATCATTATGATGCTAATGTGTTAAGAGTACAGTTGCCGTATGTAGCTCCTGCAAGTACATCTGGCTTAACTGTGGAACAGCAAAAGGAAAGAAAACGAGAGCTTGCTCGGCGTTTGATGGAAATCAATGCCAGAAAACGGGAAGAACGAGTAAGTCCTTTCTGTGCTGTCATATGTAAACCATTGGCTCAATCTCATATCATTAACATTGTAGTTAGCAGAAGATGAGGAACAATTGAATCAACTACTGGCTGTACAAGATTTATTAGAAGAAGGTGAAACCGACGAGTTTGACCAGGCATTAAAGTCTTACTCCTTATCGAATGAAGCTGACTTAATCAAAATGATAAACAACCTGCAAGCTAAAGTTGAACGAACTAGACAAAAAATAGTAGCTGCCAATTCTCAGGAAGAAAATATATCCATTGAGGAGCAAAAGCCTAAAATAAAGTCGAATCTTCAACCAAAAGACCAACAAGACTTCGATGAATGGATCGCTGGTGTTAGAAAGAAGAGACAAGAGATATTGGATAAACGCTTAGCGAAACGACAGCGCCGACAAGACATGGCAAAGCGAAGGACAGCAGCAGCCCAGGAAAGAATGAGAATTATAAGTCAATTGGCAAAGAAGGAAAAGAGAGACGATGACTTCGGAATGAGAGACGAAGACTGGGATGTCTACAAAGTTATTAATCGAGTTAGTACCTATGTGTATTATTTGTCATATCTATTACAATTAACAATGAATTAATTTCTACACAATTTATTAGGAGGGTGGAGATTCCGATTCGGAATTAGAACAAGAGAGACTGATGGAATTGGAGGATGTGCTGCGTCACCATGATCCAGAATTTGATGGTGCAGGGGTCAATATACCGGTAGTTCCTGGTGAAACACATCAGTTGCATGTTGGAGTAGAACGTCTGAGAGCAGCAGAATTATTATTTCAACCTTCCATGATCGGGTCGATGGAAGCTGGTATTGCCGAAACCATAGAGTTCGTTTTAAAACTGTATTCCGAAGAACAACAAACTCGTTTGACGGGAAACATATTTTTAACTGGAGGATCGGCAGCATTTCCAGGCCTACTGGAAAGGTTGAAGAGGGAATTGAGAGAAATTCGACCATTTGGATCCACCTTCCAGATAAATATTGCGAAGAACACAAGCTTAGATAGTTGGTACGGGGCTAGAGATTTTGGCCTGAGTGGAAACTTACCGGAATATCTGGTAAGCCGTAAAGAATATGAAGAGAATGGAGGTGAATACCTGAAGGACCATTCCGCAAGCAATACATACTCGAGGTCACCCGATCCTCTGCCGATGATTCAAGTACCTACCATTTCGGAGCAAGTCATCGTAGAAGATGCTGTAGTCGATGTCGAGATAGAATAGAAAACCCCCAACGAAAACGTTTTATACGTATTCCGATAATAAACGAGTACTTGTTTGTCTATGGATGTTCACTTTATTACACAAGAGTTTTCGTTTGTTCGTAACATAAGGAACAAACTACATTGTAGCTTGCTTTCCGATCACAATGTACAGTTTCATTGATCAAATGACCGACCAGAGACAATTATGCAGCTATCTTCCTTTTAATATCTGGATATAGTTTGTGTCCACTTGCAGACATACGACGATCTAAGGAATTCTGAAAGCGGTCCCTCAGGATAGCGTGTTACTTCCGACCCCAGCGACCCAGGCGTAGCTCGCCGACTCAGGCCCGCAGCTTAATCTAACATCACAATATAACGCAGCAACGAAAAAGTCGTCTCTAAACGTAAACCGATCGTTCGCATCTACGCCACCCTCTCCCCGACGGAGAAGTAATTCAGGCAATTCCAGAAGAAAATTGCCCTTAAGTTCCAGCTCGTCAAATGTCCTCGAAAACGTATAACAAAGGTCGGAAAGTGTGGAAAAATCTCGTGAAATCCTTCTTAAATTGGTTCCCGAAGTACTTCCCCATCAAGGTTATCATTATCCGTCACAGAGACAACGGCCATCGGACAAACCAAAAATCAAACAATCCCCATTTGCCACGACGAGCAGTACCCTTCTCGGCAATGTCTTATTTTGATGCACTGAAATTCCACAAACGGGTAAAATACAAAAACCAAGGTTAAGAGGTCTAGAAGAGGTACTAATCTCACATTATTAATGCAATTTGACTCGACTCGAAGTCTTCGGATACTGCCGCATTAACTTTATCCCCTTAACGCAAGTCCTTTACTTTCAGTTTGCCCGATCGGCTCAGTCCCTCCTCGCAACTTCCAAGCCGATCTCGTCCCCAGCCCTGCAAACCATGTGCATCCTTAAAATGTTTACTTAAAGAACGATACATCCGAAGAAGCGAACGTTTAACAAAAGGTATCTCTAAGCAGGAACCTGCCTCCCCTTGACGCGTACAAACGTCATCACCGCCACGCTCGTTATCACCGTACAAAATTTAAACCGTTATCACGGGACAATTTTAAACATATTCGACATGGCGGATGAACTCGCATTGCCAACGGGCTCGTTCGAAGCACTCTCCTGCGTAAAAGATCGCGTGAATTTTCATTATATATGTATATAATAAAAAAAAAAGATAAAAATAAAAATAGAGAACCAGTACGGAATGACGTCGCGACTCTTCGCCATCCCTTCGCTGGACCCAACGAGGACGAATCGAAACAATTATGCTCTTAAATTATCACAGAACGAGGTCACCGTGGGTCAACGATTTCTCAGTCCGGTTGTCAATCGAAAACGAAAGCTTCAAAATTCGCCAAAGAAATCTCATACCTCCTAAAGGCGCTTTTTTAGTGAGGGAACTCTCGGAGCGAGCAGCGAGAAGTACCCAAGGAAAATGTATACACAGCACTACCGCTTCTCTCGCGCTAGCGATAACGTTACAAATGATCGGTAATGGTATTAATAACCGTAATAATAATAATATCAATAATAATGAGACGGAGATGACACCAATTGCCGCATCGAAAACCAGGTCTCTCGGACCTCTCGAATTAGCCGAGACCTCCAGGATCTTGCGCGACGACCCTGCTCTCGGAAGAGACATAATGCTCGTAATCATATACGTAACAATAATCATAATTCGTACAACAACGGTTAATGTATCTCGTTACAATGTAGTATGTATAGAGACGTTACGTTACGGTGGACAGAGGGTCTGACAGCTATGTACAGTACATACTTGCCTTAGTTGTACCATCGTTACATGTACCTATGTATATTGTATCTCGCGTAACCGTATTTTAGTATTATTTATATATATATAATATGTATATTGTTTACACATTTAATGTATCTATGTAAAACGCCTATATGTATACAGCTAGGTATGCGGTACGTACGTAAGGATGTGTTAGCCAGGATATGTCTGTGAAACTATGGTCAAGCATCGCTTTACTATTACAAAAGTGTGTTCTCCTCGTGTTTTGTTCAATTTCCGCAGTGTATCTCCGTCCGTTTTGTACGACGACGCGTACGCGATTATTTGGTGTCCTGGGATTTACGGGATCCGCACCGAGTCTCGGAATAAAGGAGACCCGAACCAGACGTACTAGATTTTAGGATCTACAAGGTCTGCACTAGGTCGCAGGACTCGCTCGTTCCTACTACGTCGATACTAAATCACCAGGAGAGGTCGCCTTCTGACGAAGACGCACCTAATCGAGTACCTACGTTTCCCGGTGGCTTTTTAATCTCGAGGCCGGTTACCAATCGGTGCAACGTAGCGGGTATAACAATTAATACGGAATAACGTTTCACAGATATCTCCATCTGATGCTAACTCGGCGGCTAGTTATACTTATAAGGTCGGTAAAATGGCCGCGTTAACGAGATCCCCCGAAAATTCGGGGTTTACGTCCCGTTAACTATTTTCTCTCTCTCTCTCTATCTTTTTCCTTTTTACATCGTGTTGGCCGGAACGTAGCAGCCGCTTCGCAGATTTACGATATCGAGAATACTTTGCTATATAAAATTCGTTATACGGTGAATCCATGGAGGGGCCGCCGCGTTACGGCACGAGTGGGAAGACACTTTTTCCCGCCATTCGCATTTAACGTTACGTTTAAAATGGTATCCCTCGGCCACGTTACAGCAATTGGAGACCGAGCCGAAGCCCGTTCAGGAAGTTCTCTCGTATACGTTTTTTCAGCGTCTGCGTCGCTCGAGGATACGCGGCCACCTCGTCCCTTGGAGGATCGCCTGTATTTATTAATAAGGCGAGTCGTTAGCTTCTTCATATATCTTAAAGCGACGGTCAGCACGTTACGTGCGCTACGATACTCTAGATAAGCAGGCCTAAGACTTACGTGTGGACTTACGTGGTAGCACGGTAAACCTCTATAAAAATAACAGCTATTCTACGTAAACGTATTACAAAAATAAATGGCATTGTACTCTGCTAAAGAAGCAAAATGGTACACGCGCAATGTCGAGCGACGCACTATGTCGATTCGTACTTTGAATAGGTGGACTCGCGCTTCTTTTTGTTTTTTTTATTCCAGGTCGACGAACGGACTCGAATACTACGTCCTTTCGAATTATACGACTCCTTTTAGAGGCCAGGGACTCGGATCGCGTTTCCCGACCTGGTACGCGATTTCGGAAATTCGGGGAATAAGATCTCGACTAGGTTTTCCGTAATGCGCGACTTTGTACACTGCAAAAGCTCGCTGGTCGGCGATCTTATTCGGTGTTTCCTAATTTTTTAACTGCGCCAACGCGACGTGGAATCCGACGAGGACGAGGCGTTCGTTCTCGTCGGAGCCTCGTCGATTCCTTTTATACAGAACTTTATGCGTAGAAATAGAGATATTGTACGTGAAGTAATGGCTGTAGCAAACGTGCGAAAGAGTAGGGCTTCGTTTTCCGTGTTCTTGCAGAACTATTATACGAGAGAATTCGCGATCGGCTCGTCAAACGGAGCCTCTTGTAATGGCGAAAATTAACCCACGAAAAGAACGATGTACCGAATCTGCTGGTTAGCCGGTCGGCGCGACTCGGTGGTTTTTCATTTTCGCGATTTTCGATTTAATCGCTATACACCGGAGGAGCATAATTGGTAAACAATAGCTGACAATGTAGGTAGCAGCGGCTCGAATTTGCGGCCGGTGCAAGACGGTCGAATCGAAAATCCTGTTAGCGACAGCCACTTGCAAAACCCATACGCATTCCCAGCAAACGCATGACACGAACAATACACCTTTAAGGAATTGTATGCAACTTACACACCAGTGGTTACGTGCATCGCGCATTTGTGCTACAGTCTCACTACCGACACACATTATGTGAATGCTGGGACGGAAAAATCACATAACCGAGAAAATGAGGAACAAATGTACTGCGCTATTCCTTAACGCACGAATAGTAAAATCCGCATTTAATATACAATCGAGCGAGATTCATGATTTAAACGGATAACAAACCTTCCTCGTAATTCCATACCGTGTAAAAACATTTGTTATTAAATCCAACCGAGTGGACCTATATTGCACGTCGCCGCTGTTACTAACATTTACGGTGCGTGGGCTCGGCACTGCCGAATTTAGCGCCAAATCTTTTTGCAGTACGTTGCGCAACCACGATCGACGAAAAAAAAAGGGAAACGAGAAATGAATAAGACACAACGTTTAGAAGTTAAATTATGCCCGAGGAATTAATCCGCTGCGCCGACGGGCTTTGTTCCTCATTTTCCCAGACCATTGGTCGTCCTATTTTGATACAAATTCTCCGGGTCTGCCAACTAATCTTTACACGGACATACTTTTCGCGCGTGCATTCGCGGAAGATTCATATCCAATCGAGATCCGTAGGTACGAAGTAAAGTCGCGATATTTCGGATCTAAGCGACGATCGGGGCTGGATGGTCGAGCGGTACATGCCTCGGTTGATCCTTCGCCCTGACCGTGAACAGAATATACGCGGAGTCTCTCAACGAGTATCGAAAGTAACATTAGCTCTCTATTTAATGTGCTACCTCGCTATGTCACGCTAAACTCGCGCGGCTGCCAACTCGATAGTTTCGCAAGTCGTACGAGCGCGACGCAATACCGCAGATTGCACGATTCGGAGGAGCAGCCCTGGCCTTTTCGCACTCGTCTACGAGCTCGAGAGAACGTCATTATGACGTTTACAGTGCAGGAAAAATTATGATACACGGACAGGAGATTACCGTAGACGTAGTTAATAATAAGCAAATTGATAGGTGCACGAGAAAAGACGAAACCCTCGCTCTACCCCAGAGTCGCGACAACCGTAACAACAATTGCGTGTAAATATAGTGACAGCGGAGTAGGGGGACTGTACAGACCTCGCTGGTGGTCTTAACACGTGCACGGGGGATTTTAATGAATAAAACGGAAGTAGAAATCCGCGACAACCGGCACTAAGAATATATATATATTTTCGAATTACGGCCGCGTCTGCCCTCCGAGTCGCGGCCAGCCGCGGAGGAGTCTCGCGCTCGCCTTCGATCCCCGCTTTACCTTAAATATAGAAAATAGCTGTTGCGACCTGATACTTAGTGCCTTAACGACTACAATATCGTGGGTTTTCCCGAGGATTCTACGTAGACCCTTTACAAGACGTTCGTCCCTTACTTAAGTTATTTACACGGGCTCTCGATAGCCTCTCGATTTCCGGAACGGAATTTTCCTTTCTTCCTCGTTTTCCTTTACTCGCGTAGAAATAAGCTTCGCATGTCGACTCGGAGATGGGAGGACCGTCCCCGGCGAATTAACACACGGTCGTCGAGTATATTTCGCAGTGGGTATAGATAAAAATAAATAGTCGCTTCGTTCCACCGGCGAAATCTCCGACGAAGCGGTCCTCGGGGGTAGACCTGGGGACTGGCCCCGAGGACGCTGCGAGAAGACCTGATTTCACTGTTCCCCCTTTCCGTGGAAAAATATGCAAACATCATACATTATACATGTATATATATATCACGAGCTTAAAAGAAAGATTACTAATGCACGCTAATTAGTAATTAAGCGGTCGATCGGTAAAAGAATCTCAATAGCGAAGTTCAGTAGCTTCGAGTTGCCCTTGAGGACCCTCTTTTCCTTTGGCCAAATTCACATTAAACGAGAGGCACGTACTCGCGGAGACGAAAGTTTCGCAAAATTGCAAGCGACACCGTCCTACTTGACCCTCGACATCGTATTGTACTATGCAGGATGAGTATCCGAATAATCAATGATCGGGTGAACAAACCTCCCAGCCAAGAAATGATCTTGAATGTCGCCATAATGTTATTCCGTACGCATGTATCCCAACGTTCAACATACATTTTTAATTCGAATCTTTAACCCGAAATACTCGTCAGTACTTTTTATTCCACGGGGATGTTAATCGAATATACGATAACGCGCTCCTTTGCTGACACTCTCCACGCGGATTTCTTGAAACGACTTTTTTCATAAAACAGTTCGTCCAATCGCTGGCATTCAAGACGATAAAATGGCACGCCCAAACAGCCCGATTAACATAGAAAATACTCCATAAAAAAAAAAGCCACCGTTAAAAGCTGCCTAAAAATAAATAACGCGAACAAGGTCGCGAGTGCGGTTTTGAGACGCTTTCGCTGGAGCGTGCGTGGATGCTCGCATAATGTGAATTCGGCCACCCTGCCCTCTCGTCTCGTTATTCTTTATCACGTTAATTGGAACAAAAGTGCGTAGAACCATTATCCTAACGTTACTATCCGTAATCGCGCACGTGGTTTACGCGTAAATAACGTGCAAATATGTACATAGATTATACACGCGTATCACTAGTTAGGAGCTGCGCTGGCGTATGCAAAGAGGCTTTAATCACAACTTAGTAGTACGTTACCCTCGCACAGAGCTGCGCAATGACTAGCCAATGTGAAGATCATTATTCTCCCGCGGTACATGCTCGCTATTACATAGCCCATGCACCCATGAAAGCCCTCCAACTAAATCCGCGAATTTAAACAGTCCTTTGTCGATACGTTTATACATCAGTCTTACCGGATGACTCGCTCTCGCCCAACATGGAATTGAAAGCCTCCAGCATACGCGCGCAGTTAGCAAACGAGCTCGCCGAATAATAACGGGGTGGGAAAATATGAAAGATCGTACCTACGTTGTATACCTAAATTATTATTGAGGCACGCTAACGTGGGATTCGCTTACAAACTAGGTCGAATCACTTAGGATCGAGCCTTTTCTTTGCGGAGCTACTCGATCGGATCCTCGCTAAGTAATCACGGGGTTAATGCCTAGCGTCACGCCGTTGTCATGGTTTCCCTGCTCTCCCGAAATGATGCCAATTCCCGGCACTCCTTGGTCGTCGATTTCAGGAATTTACGTAACGACTTTTTAGATACGGAGTACTCCCCACTATATTCAAATCTTTAGATACGCATTATAGCGGAAATTGTTGACAAATTATGTGCTCCAATATTTAACGCCTGGTTAGCCCGTGTTGGATCGTTCACGAAAGCAATGCTGAAAGGGCACCTCAGGCTTGAATCTTATGCCTTTTGGGTGGTGGGTCAACTTTTCAATTTTCTAACAGGAACTCGGACTATAAACAAAGAATAAGGTATTAGACAGTAAATTATTGGGCGTAGCTTGAAGTAGTAGTTGGCTAGTCTCCGGAGAAAGAGCAGCGAAGCAGGATATCGGAGCGAAAGAAACCATGAGTTGCGCATTTTGGGTCTACTTCGATTAACTTAACTATGTTGGAAACATTGCCTCAACAACTGCGTGCACGCGTGTTCGCTATCAATGATAATAGTGTCGATAAAATGGTACTAACAACAGTAGTAGCTCTAGGACTATTAGAATTAGTTAATAGATACCATTCGCCGTGGTATCTTGACTGAGTAGTAGCAGCAGTACTCATAGAGTAGCAAATAGGAGTACTTGCGATAGAAGTAATAGTAGTACTCATTGTTACGATAGTGGTAATAGTAGTAGCAGAAGTAGCGGTGTAGCGATGGTAGTAATACCGGTGGTAATAATAACAATAATAATAACGTTATTGTAGCGATTTTAGGTAAGAGGGTGTCTACCAAACACCTTTCCTAGACAAGGACATCCGTCAAAGTCCGACATTTATATTGCCCGTGACGTTACTTTTAACTCGTTGGCGAAACGGTAAACCAATATTTAAACCTTGTAGATAATAATTACTATCTATATCACAGATCCGAGTGACTAACTTCTTTAAAAATATAAATATAAATATGTGTGACGCGTGCAATTGCAGCAGTACGTACTTAATTGCAGGCTTCGTTAAACGAATGGTAAAAGAAACGTTCCAGTACGGTGAAAGTGCGCCAAGACTCGAATACTTCGTTTATGCTAGCATCAAGATTCACCATCTTTCGGAGCAGCTGATTAGAAATCAAAGTATGGCACTTTTCCAATAGCACATGGCAGGTGGTACGGCCTAATAAATACGAAATTTCTAATGTTTTTGAAACATCGCGTCAAATGATAAACCTAATAACTCGAACGATCTCTTCGAGAGACAGCGATATCGAAAGCTTAGGTCGTACAAGCCTTCGATGATCCAATAGTACCGAACTCTTCGTCAACGAATCAAGAATCGGTACGTAAAATTTGCAGAGTAATCGCTGACCCTGTCAAACGACACTCTAAATCTAGTAGAGAGGCGAACGTCACTAATTCAACGCACCAACCGTGGTAAATCACAAGAAAAATCAGGACTCCGTGGAAAGTGAACTCTTTCTTTTCGACCAATCGGGCCCAGCCGATGTACGTGCTAGCATAAATCCTTCTCTAATTGTTCCGCTGGATATATTCCGGATACGAAATCGAGGAATTCGTGTTGGTATACTGAGCGTACAAGTACAGCGCAGGGTGAAGTCCTGGTGGAGGGACACCTCGATGCAGTTGATGGATATTATGGTGAGACCCCGACGAGTCCACCAGGGACAATTGAGAGTAATCGTGAGAATCGGAACTGTCCAAGGGCCCGGAATCGTTGGACCCTGTCGTTTGGTAGACACTCTGCGACGTAGCGTGCTCGTGAGACACAGGCGAGTTAAGTGCAAACGGCGAGTTTGCCGAGACGGGACATACTACTTCCTGCGGAGATTGGCGTGACGGCAGGGTCTGCGAAGCGCCGCCGTCTAAACACTAGTTGGTTGTCTGCGGGTGTAACAGGGGAAGAGGAAGCTGTAGACTGTTCTGCTTGGCTAGGCTGGCGATCTCGGCGGCGATTCCTCCTTTGCCACCACCGAGACCATCCAAGGAAGTGGGTCCCTCGTTGTACCGCAAGTCACAGACTGGACTCTCGAAGCCAGTACCTGGTGTACCCCCTCCTGTGCTCTGCGGAGTTGGCGGATTATGATTCGAGTTACCTTGATTGATGTCACGATGCACGCGATTTTGATGCCTTATGAGGTAACTGTCACGGACGAAGGTACGTCCACAGATGTTGCACTCGTAGGTGGTGCTGGCGGTGTGAGTACGGATGTGAATTGCAAACTGACTCTTGGATGTGAACGTCAGGGAACATCTGTCGCAAACCAGAGGCTTCTCCGCCACATGACTCCAACGGTGTGCCGTCACGTAACTCTTGACGGCGAATCTCTTCTGACATATGTCGCAAGCGTACGGTCGCTCTCCCGTATGCACTCGCTTGTGAGTATTGAGACTGCTTTTCTGAGTGAACCGCTTCAGACACAATTCGCACTGAAAGGGCCGCTCACCGGTGTGGGTTCTCATGTGAACCTCCAGGTAAGGCTTACGGCAAAAACTTGCTTCGCAGACGGTGCAGTGGTAAGGTTTATTCCCCGAATGCAACTTCATATGAACGTAATACGAAGAAGCGGACGACAGTACCTTTCCACAGACTTTGCAGGCCTGTGGCTTGGAACGAGAACCTTCTTTCACTGTCTGCTGCCCCGTTGACTGACGAGTCGGAGTAACTTGCTGCACGTTCTGAGCCTGTTGTTGAGCTTGCTGGCTCTGTTGTTGATTCTGTTGCTGGTTCTGCTGCTGATGAGGCTGCAACGTTTGTTGTTGAGGCTGCAAATGACCTTCTTGCTGGGAAAGGTCCTCTCGGTCGTCCGACAAGTTAACCATCGAGTTGGAGCCATCCGAACGACTCGAGGCGACCGAATAGAACCCCATCGGCTCGCTCTTGATCTGTTGCTCGAACATGGACGTCATGATGTCCAGACGAGGCTGAGCGAGCTGTTGTTGCTGCTGCGGTTCCTGCACCACTTGCTGTTGGGGGAGCAGAGTCAGGTTGCGCTTGACAAGCTGCTCATATCCCGTGTACCAATCCACCTGCATTATACGTCACGTCGAAATAATTATTTCCCATTGAGTTCCCCGTCGGTCGTCGATCTCACCGAAACGAAACGGGAAAACACGTAACTCAATCTCAGGTTAAGCCAATTACTTTGACGTTTATTTTTGACAAGTGACAGAAGAAAGCTAGACGATCAGCTGATTGCATAACTTTTCCACGAGCAGGTAATTGCGATGCGATTTCAGTCGATTAGATCCTCGTAGATTGAACCGCGGGTAAACCTTTGGTGAGCCACTCTATTTTTAAAAAGAACGAGAGAAGCGGCGGAATATTTTGACGCCTAAAACCGGATTCTCCTCCGTGAGGAGCAGTGGGGGCGAGCACTCGCGCCAGAGCGACCGCGGTCAAACCAATTTCGTACTAACCTTTGCTTTTCTAGTGGTCCGGCCTAGTGGTAAAAAAGTTACGCCTCATTGAGCGCTCCTGTCAGCTCGGTCAATTTCACGGAGTACCCCGACACATTTGTTTAAATAATGTTTCTCCTCAACACAAAATATAAGATGGATGCTACTATATTTCTTGGCAGCCCCTATATACACATGTATATAAAAAATACTGCTCCGAGGCATGTAACTACGTACGACATTCGGCATGCACCCATTCTCATTACGGCTCTTCGATAATCCACAGTAGTGCCCTCTCTTGCGTTTTTTGCGAATCTGCCCGCGATGTAACGCGACGCTGTGATTGGACGAAAGTTTCTCGGTCTGCACGGATTGACCAATCACTGGCCGTCATTTCATGGTGAGTACTATTATCAGTATTAAGGAGCACAATTTATTTATGCCCACGGACAATATAACTCCTGGCGCTTAATAAAAGATTTTCGAAAATATGTATAACAATTTGATTGTTCACGAAAATAAGAAACGTTTCGAAGAATAATAATAATGTGAAGAAATCTCGTTTATTTCTTTCCGGAAAAATTATGGTAATTTAACGTCGTTTATCCCTAGGCTCGTAATTTTTCTGCACCTTTTAAATTTAGTCCACCCTAGAAACGTGTACAGCTTGTGATTCGTCAGTTCTCTTATGTTTATTCGCGTCGACAATTGAAAACTTAGCAACAATCTGACTGGTGGGAATAACGTGTTTTCCTGGAACTTCCGTCAACTACCGTCGCCTCCAGTCGCCTTTCAGCTCTCAACAAGGTTGCTCAGTTGCTCTCAGTAGGTGCTCGTGGATGGTGATTCCTTGACGTTTCTCAAGTTCCAACGGAAAGTAGAAACCGCGGCGTTTAATTTTGACTGTCTACTGTGATCTCGTTATGTTCGAATAATAATTAAAAGTAAATATACTGTATTTTTCAAATACATTCACTAGCCGTTCGTGAGTATCAACAGTAACTGATCTCGATAACGATTCTTATGCTTGGAACAAAGATGGCCAAAATTTACGGGACAATTATCGGCAATTCAGCAAACGCAAATTCCTTTTACATATATATGTCTTCTATAAATATTTAATCAATGTATAACGTGAAAGAAAATATTAACTTTCGTGTTACCCTGTGTGACGATATTTCATTGTATATTTTCTTTTACAGTTTACATCCTGCTGTCTAGAATGTGCGAATGTTCTCAAAACGTCCTTTGTAAGAAACTGTACAAAAACAAGTATTTGTACTTTAACGGTCGATGAATGAACATTAATGTAAACAAAGAATCGATGAAGAAAACTGCTGCTACTCTCGTGATTAAGGATTATTAGTTACCGAGAAAGAAAAATTATAAGTAAGTTGTTAACGTGAATTCGACCACTGTAGCACAAATTTTCATATTTGCAAAATGTATAAAACTTTGTATGGAAAGTATAATTTCAAAAATGAAGTTGTAAAAAAATATAGCATGGCAGAATCTTTGAAAAAACAGTTCTATTTATAGAAGTCAACACTCCTGTTATGGCATTCTATTGAGAAAGTATATGTATCTATTTTTCAGAAATGGCAACACAAGCAACAGTACCAGGCAAATCAAGAATCGATGGCCCTGTAACAAAAACATTAGTTGATAATACGATAGACAAGCTTCCTACTCAGAAACCGCGTGTAGAGTGTGATGACTGTGATTTGTCTTTCAAGAATCAGGCAGTATTAGATACACATCTACAAGGAGCTCGACATGCTAAACAAGTCTGTAACATTATGGAATAATGGAATATTATATATTTCTAATATTGCTAAATTTGAAGAATATGACTAGAATTGAAGATCATATTTTTTTCTGATATATTACAATTTAGCTCCAACCAGCACACTGTTCCCTTATTTTTTTTCCATGGGATGTGAGCTCATTAGCATATATAGAAACATATTGAAAAAAGAATTATTTCTCAATTTCTTTCATATTCATCAAATTTCTTCCAATATTTTCTTATAATTATCATGAATTAATTAACTAGGTACAGATAAACACCATAATGGCTTCGCTGGAAGAGTCTAAAGTTGCTTTCACAAAAGATGAAGGAACAAACCGCTTCACATGTGATATTTGTAATGTGTGTTTGAATTCATTACAACAGCTTCAAACACACGTAAATGGTATGGATATTTAATCTTTATCCCTTTTTGTTAAATGTTCCATTCATAACTTAAATTATAAAAATATTATTGCAGGAAATCGTCATATGAAAAATATTTCAGGAGGTAACACACGTGGACCACAAAAGGTCATATTTTATAAATGTAAGAAACCAAATTCAGATAAACGTGTAAAAGGCAATAGCATATTATTGGTTTGCATAGCGTTATTGAGTTTTGCGATCTTTGTACACGTACTAAAATGTGTTATTACTAGTTTTGTATCTCTGTTTTCTGTAATTGGATAGTATTTATTGTTTCTTGTTATTGACTTGTTTGTGGTTTCGTTCCTAATTTATTACTACCAACTAATTATGTAGCTGGTTGATTGACTCCTTGATTTCACATATTATTTTGTATAAAAAGTATTGAATTTATTATTATTTTGTACAAAAATATTTAATTAAAACTGAATTACGATATTATTTAACATGATGTAATCAAAACATAAAAGTGTCAAAATAAAAATGTATAAGGTTGGCCAATAATTCTGTGCAGTTTACAGACAAATAATGCATGAAGCACAGAACCTAATTATTGGTCATCCCATATTCAAACTAGGATTAAGCCAAAGAATTATTCAAAGAAATTCTGTACTATTGTTGAAAGCATTTTGTGATTTATACTGTACTATATAAGATTTATAGTAAATTGTTATACAAAAATTAAGTCTCAAACTCATCATTGAAGTATAAAAATATCAATACTGAAATTCGTCTAACTATAAATCAAATTCCTGCTAAATAATATATCAACTTTCATTCCATTGTTCCCATATTATTTAATTATGCATGTACATGTACTTTTATAACATTTTATTTTTCCTTCAAAATATGTGAAGTCTTAACCCATGCTGTAAATCTTTTTTTATGTAGACTTGTACTCATACTTCAGTTTTAGCATTAAAAGATGTCTTTTAGCCATTTAATAACTACATATAAAAACTTGTTTTAACGCTAAAAATGCAGCATGAGTACGGTCCTTAGAATTTAGATTTTAACAGTGATATTAAAAAAAGAAATTAATATTTGAAGAATTTAATTGTTTAACATTTAAAGATTGTGACCTAATCCAAGAAATGAAATTTATTCATATTTTATCCAACGCTACTATTACCTACTTTATCACTCGCACGTGCTAAATAGCACTTTGTCATTAATGTAACCTTTTTTTGTGGCATGAATGTAGTGTTCAAGCTGATTTATTATCACACTAGACTGCAGTTGCAGTCGTGATAGATAGATAGTGTTGATCGCACATTGATGCTTAGGTGATAGGAAGAACAAGGAACCTGTCCGAGAAGCTGCTCTTCCACCTTTTCCAGCACCTGTTACGACAGCTGGTGTCTCAGCACCCACAAAGACGGTTACATTGGCTTGTAAACGTTGCAACAAATTGTTTAACACCCAAGCCCAATACAATGTGGTATATAACAAACTTTATTTCTTATTAGCTTAAGGAATTTCATCGTCTAAAGATCAGTGCAGACTAAGCGGATACTGTTTGTTAACAATAAAGAAACGTAATAGAACATTCCTCTAATAAAATGTAAAATGTATACATGTATCAAGTGGCTACAAATGATTAGATTTTTCTGGAGAGTTCAACACTCCACTTTTTTTTTAAGAAGTCCACTAATAATTCAGCAACTGTTGGCAAACAATGTTAGCTAAGTCTGTACCAGCCTGTAGGATGTATCACCAGGTTATTCCGTTTCGCTTATATATTATCCAAGATGTAATCAACATATCTATGTAATAATTAAGTTAGTCCTTTAAAAGTATGGCATAGTATTAGCTTGTATCATATACTTGACGTTTTTAGATAGCTCAATTGCAACTTAATATACGGTTTAGTCAGGGTGAGAGCACGTTGATTCCATTTCCCGCCTGTTTGATTGCTTGCCTGAATGGCCGAATGAGCTTGTCTTGAAATTCCACAAATTTTGAACTCGTCATGAGCCTCATCCCGTATATGCAGTAAATTGAAATGAGTATAATAGCAGTACCAAGAGCGAATTATGTAACTATAATGTTTAATAATATTTCTTATAAATTTGTAGCACGTGACCTCGAAAGAGCATGTCGACAGAATGAATGGATTCACAGGAAGAAATCAGAAAAGGAAGCGATTTACGCCCTATTGGAAAAAAGCAAAACCAGGTCAAGGTTTTCAAGGACTCGTCCCACACAGATACCTCGAAATTTTTCCGATGGCGGATATGCGCATTATACGTAAGATAGGTTGAAATCGCTATCCCCAACATTTGAAATTATCTCATCGATATTTTTCCGTAGATTAAAACTTCCTAGACTTATAATTTGTACATTTCCTAACCAAACGTATCGAAAAGGTATTATTTTAAATGGTATATGTGGCAGAACTAGTGCACATTAATGTACATTATTATTACAAATCGACGTCCTTCACGATCGTTCAATAAAAATATGAAAGAAGGGAAAACACAACTATGTATTCTTATTGACAAATTTATTAAATAATTGAATTATGGGATATATGAGTCGTTTATAATTACAATGTTGAATTAAGGTGAACAATTTGTGATGGCGTGATACTGCTCATGCGGAATTAATTGATCTTATTTTCAACGATGGTAAAATTTCCCCAGGCTGGAACAAAGTAACTAGATTAGATATGATTACAACTCAGGAACTTCCTTACTATTTTACACAAGTAGTTTTTATACTTTAAGCGTGTGCGTCTCCAACAGTCGGTGAAGCTCAGAATTTTGTTTCCTTAAACATTCCGTTTCCATGTTTAGTTTGTGCCTCTCTTTTAAAATTTCATGATATTTATGCAGTCCTATCAATAATCCATCCCAGAGTTTTTCTTTCTTCGACGAGAAGATATCTCTGTATCTTCTCCAAAACTCTGTAACATCCTGTACGGTGAGGGCTCGGGATATTGTAAGCTTTTCATTTGTTAATTTAGCCTGGAAAGTTGGTGGCACCTGTCCACGTTTGACGGTATGAAATCTTGCGATAAACTCTTTTAGTGCTTTTGACACACTGAGTGCTTGAATTTCTAGCAGGTGGCCTTTATCGCAACAGACTTGTCGCTTCCTCGATTCAGTACCTACATGAATAGAGTAATACCGATTGATCTAATTTATTTGAAAAATGTATATAACTATCTAGCGTGAAGAGAGCTGCTCCGTCTTGTAAATAAAAAAATCGAGTCGTTATAAAATAAAATAATACTTTTATACGAGGTTAATAGTATTGACCTTAGAAACAATGTACCTGTTGCAGATTGATAGTTGCAAATAGAATCGATTGCATTGCTGTCCGTATTTGAAGTATCCGATTTAGACGCACTACTCGACCTGTTGATATATTTAAATAACATTACATATGCAGGTGTCATACTTCTTTCAAGGAGGACACAATTATTAAAGGAAAAATTTCTTTGCTAAAGATGTACACTTACCCATCTGAAGATTCCAATGTTTCACTTTCAGAACAAATCGAAGGCATTCTCTGGTCTGAGGCCGTACATATCGGGCAATATGAATACGGCAAAAAGAAATTTAAAAGCAAGTCCACCTCATCTTCAGATTTTATACCCAGTGCCTGTGATCAAAACAATATATATTTTCGCTGCTCCGACTATGGCCATGCACTCAAAACTCATAAACCCAAATTTTGAAAAACTGTAATTTACTTGAAAGACGTTATCCAATTTTATAACAATCTTATCCTTGCTCGAATGAGGTGCCAGTAGCTCGCGTAATCTGTCTTCAATGAGAAACCCACATCGGTCAGAAATCTGAATTATGATGCGACGAAGCAATTGCCTTTCTAAATTAATTTCTTGCAAATCCGTCGCAGGCTTATGTTTCTCGCACACTTTTTTATTCTCTTTGATTTCAAAACTTTCTGGAAATCATCACAACAGTCAGATTAAATGAGTAACTGCATCTAGCACCTAAGCATGCTTTTACATGTGCAAATATGAGTAAATTCTAAACTAAAGATACGTATATATATTTCATACTTTGCCGTAAAGAGCACATTGCGGCGCAATACGAAGGTAAATCCTCCTTGCTTAAAAGTGGTTCCTCGGGTGGTTCCCACTCTAATCCCAACGTTTGTTCATAGATAATTTTGTCCGCTGTCATGATCTAGAACAAATGCTTAAAATTAAAAAGGAAATTTCGTGTATATTCAGATTTTCCCAGGATCGATAACGGACCTTATCAACCAATTCCTTCGCGCTCTTTTCGTTCATATCCCAAATGTTCAGATACTGTCTCTCGTTAATACTCGTAAAATGGTCAGATTTTTCCTCCAATTCAAGAATATTCTTATGCGCCTTTGTGACTTGCTCCGTGAGCCTTTGTATGTCTAATTTGGTGCTCTCTTCCAAATCTGCATAATTCTTTTTTAACCTATTGATTACATCTTGGAGCCTAAAATCATCGGTAGACATAATCGTACCCAGATGTTACAAACAACTGATGTACTTTTGGTACCGACTTACTTATTGATTCTTCTTTTTTGCTGGTTCTTGACAATTATGTTCTCGTCTTCTCGGCGCTTCAGAACCGCATAACTGTAATCTAATTTTTCAACATTCATCATGCAGATAGCCTTCATGTTTTGAACTTCTTGCTGAAGATTCTGATGTTCTGTCTCGAGCCAGATTTTCTGAGCTCTATATTTCTCTTGGTGATCTTCCATCACTTTCTTCATCTCAATCTCGTATTCACGCATGATTTCCTTCCGCTCTTCGATGCCACTGAGTTCCTCCTCATTTCTTTGCTTGTATAAGACTTCCCATTTTTTGGCAACAGTTTCCAATAAAATTGTACGCTCAGATTCTAAAGCATTCTCGATAAGCGCTAATTCTCGCCGGTAGGCTTTGGCCATTGTATTAACCTTGAAAAAGAATCGGTCTATCGTTACTTAAGCACTTAAATAAATTTCTGAATATTAAGGTACTAACTTGGCTATCTATTCTTTCAATTAGTAAATTGATGTTATCGATTTGTTTCCTTTGGTCTGCAGCAAACTTTATATCAGCATTTTCCAATTCCTTCTTCAGCTCATCGATAACGGCATCTTTTTCGGCAAGAACTTCTAAACATTTGGCATTTTGAGCTTGCATTTCATGGTGGATGTTCAGTGGATCGTCAAAACCGAGTACTTCCTCCCATTTCTTGTTTATCACATTGTATTTTCCTAAACAATCGCTGGCTACCTCCTCTAACTTATTTAGCAATTTTTTCCGAAGGGCTGCCTCATCTTTTCGTCTTTGCACCTCTCTCGCATCGTTCGCTACTCTTACATTTGTAATCTAAAATTATAATATATATATAATAAATAATCAATGGTAGGAAAATATAGTGGTTATTTAATTTATCATCATACCACTTCATCTCCTTCCGATATCAATTTTTCCAAGATTTCTGCACTTGCAAGAATTTGTTTTTCCGTCGGAGTCTTTTCGATAACCTCCTCCTCTTCCGATCCTTCTTGCCTAGAGAAGTAAACAATCCAATTTTAAATATTATCATTTTTCTTAGTGATATAGAAACTCCATAAAAATCACTTTTGACTGGCGAGTATTTGGCACGGTCGGATATAAAAATGCAACAATTATAACATTTAATGAGAGTTACTTTTTTAAAGCTTCAAGACGTCTCTGAATACGAAGTCTTCGTGCCAACTTTCTTTCATTAGGATCCGCCGAGGTGACAGAAGGCTCAACCGGCTCGTCGTACTCATTTTCCTGAGTTTTTTCACTCGCCATGATTTCTAAAAACATTCCTTAAGAATCATCTCATAAAATGTCTTTTGGAAGTTCGGACTTCCGGGTAGTTAGGTAAGAATAAAGATAAACATACCTTACATTTTAAGGACCTCGACACTCAAGAACGTAACGGCACGTGTCTTTTTAACTATCCAGAATATAATAGGTTCGTTTCATCGTTCAACGTAACCTACAGATAACACAATGAACGTGACGCATAGACGCTACTTTGGTTGCCATTAGCAACCGAAGAGTTTGTACTTGGCTACGTTCGGCATTGAATTACTGTACGATCAACGCAATTTCATGTTCTTATAAAACCTCATAAGATGGAAAAACGACTATAGCAATGACTTTTAATCAATTTCAAGAGCATCGTACATAATTCTGGCACATTAACTGCGGGTGTAATGTGAATAATTAGAAATATTAGGGAACATAATTTACCGTAAAGGTTCCAACCAACTGATAGTTAAAAGAAAAGACCTAGGAAAAAAAAACATTGACTATGTAATCATTCGCGTATCTTTATGATAAAATAAATGATCAAGTTAAACTTATAGTTTTTTATACAGATTGATTATCAACGAGTGCATGCTCTACCGAATATTCCGCTCCATAGACGAGTGAACAGTTTTACATTAATAATCATCGCTTTAACTATATTTCTTTCTCCTTTCGGAACTCCCGTCGTCGTATCGTGCAGGTACGTATTAATTTAAAAAGAACAGTTTCAATCCATTTAAACATGAAACACCGTCACTTGTAAGTGTTACTTCCAAAAAGCTCTTCACCCACTTCCTTCAAATTCCTTGCGAGTTATCAAATCCAAGTACAACGAACAATCCGCAGGTAAATAAACAAACTTACCACGACCTCCCCAACATTTCAGCCTCGCAAGACGAGGAACGCATCAACAATTCGAGTAGACAATTTTGTACAGAATCAATACACCGGAACAAATCAGTAGAACCGAGTATATTCAACTACACCATCGGAGAAGCCATTCCTGAAACGCTCAAAACGAGAAACCCGATTAATTAAGAACACCCTCTAGATCTTTTAGTCATAGTTATTATTATCATTATTATCCATATAATTACCAATAACTACAGTAAAACACAAAACAAAAGATGTGATATCTGTACATTCTCCTTACGCGAGTAAACATAAACTTTGTATACCAGTAGCCTAGAATAGGAAGAAACTAAATCATAGTATTCACAGATATTTTACAAGATAGGTAAAGGCGCGACGAGCGCATACACTGCGCGATCATTTTCCCGGCCCCGAATCGTTTACACCGTTTATATCACTTATAATATACCTCGACTACGACGCGAACGCTACTTTTATAGCCCACCTACCGGAAACGCATTTCTCCCCTTTCTCTACTTCCGGAAACTCGCCCGACGTGTCGGGCAGTGTATGCGCCGAGGTCGGCCGTCTCGCTTACTCGTTACTCCGTAATCTATGTATATGTATACGCTCTCTATACCTCTCGCGTTACTTCGCTCGCGCTCGTTTACCCTCTAGTACTGTACATATGCACAACGTATTCTTTTACACTGTACATGCACATGCTATCCGCGAAGTATCCTCTTACTTTTTTTTCCCCCTTTTACGCAGGCTTAATGCTAGGTTTTACTTTTGTAGGGACGTGACCCAGGCTGGCCGACACTCGTCTCGCTTAACGCATCCGTCGGACTCGTGAGGAACATTCGACATTTCGTTTACACAATGCGTCGGGCATCTTTGGAACGCGGATGGACAACGGAAGGCCTTCTACCGGTGCGAAGGGAGGGAAACCGGACGACTCTCCTGCGGGCCGATCTGACGAGGGGACCGATCGTCTTCGCAGGTTTTTCCTTTCTCCTTTTCGGAGCGCCTTTCTTTCCTTACTACTTTTCCCGTGGACCTCGTCCACCGTGATTTGCCGAGCCGATTTGTGCCACTAGAACTACCGGCGGATTTCTTTTCTACAGGATGGCCCATTTGAGACCAGTCATTTTTACTGGTCTGGTAGTTCTAGTATTAAGGTGGTACGAAATTCATGTTTGGGGGGTTTTATGCAACTTTTCGCCGAACTAGATGAACCTTATCGTTTGAAACCTTACCACGGGAACGCGGATGGCCTAAATCTCCGTAGAATCGTTTGTTTAATTTCGAATTCAAAGAATTACATTTCACGAGCATCGGGAATTTGTACCCGGCCTACATGTTCACGTGGTCGAATTTCAAAAGTGTCGTTACACCCTGTTTGAGGAAAAGTTTTCTCAACAATTAACCCTTGGAATGCCATTTTCATAGCACCTTAAACGCTCGGCCGAAAAACCCACGAGACGACCCGATCACGTCATAAGGATGGTACATTAATGGGTCTTCGCTCGTTTGTAATCTGTCCAAAATAATTACAGATTTTTTCCTTGCCCCAGAACCAGGAGGAAGCGGCTCATTGAGGATTCGATTTGCGAAGCAGCGGCTGCGAGGGAGAAGAGTCCACAGGGGAAAGAAAATTACTAAGCGCGGTCAGCAGCGTCACGATGAGTTCCGGAATAAAAAAGAAAATATAACTTATAATCTTGTCATTGCGTGCACGCTTCTGTCATACAAGCGAAATATGACGAGTTTTCTTATAAACGCCTAGCCTATACTTTGCAACTATTTCGTAAAGATCCGGAACGGTCATCGAATGCGTAAATCGAGGCCAGTTTCGATGACGCACCTGACCGCCATATTATTAACAATTTCACATCTCCTGCGTAAGAATAAGTCTCTCGCAGCCGCTCCGTTTCCCCCTTTACAAAACGTTTCTATCAAAACTTTAGAAACCCATCGAGCGATTGTTAAATAACAAGAAACAAAAATGGCGTTCTCCCCTTTGCGTGGGCCTAAAAAAAAATGAGTCCTCTCTCTCTTTCGAAATTCATAAATAATTACAAACGACCGAAGCCACCAAGGTTGCATACCAGGACGCGCAACGTTTTGGGAGGTCCTGCCATCGGGTTAAATTTAACACTCCTACACTTAACGTCGAGACGGCATCGCGAGGTAGCGATCCGAAGCCAGTCGTCGACCAGGCAATACACCTCCGCGCGTCAGACGCAGCCCATATGATCGCGTGATAAATTAGAAATAAAATTAAAGGAGAAATTAAAATATACATAATCGCGTAATCCTCGATTAGAATCCCCGAAGACGACGGGTTTCGGAGCGCAGCCCGAGTCCGCCAGGACGATCGCCGTTTTCCTAAACGCGAAGCGGCGCTCGAATAGAAACGGAATTCCGCAACGCCACCTAGTACACATCAAGAGATACACACCTCGTCCATCCCGAAAAGTCCTTCGCACTCGAGGTCCTTTTCGTTACTTCTTTTTTGTTTTTGTTTTTTTTTTCTTTGTTAAGTTTCATTTTAATCTAGAGCCCGCGCTCTAGGCGCGTCGGCATAACAATGTATAGTAGTAGGTAGTTGCTCGATACGTACTGTATATACTTTGTCAACTCTCTCGGGGACATCTCGGGCGACACGGCATAACGTTTTTGCATTATTCTGGTTCCTATACACGCAAGCGCATTATTATCCTGGACACAATTCTAAGGGAATCCTATATACGAGGCCCCCCTCGGCGAGACTCGCCCCGGGTTTTCTTCGTTCGGTTTAACGAGTAGGGATGGAAGTGCAGCGGCATCAACGGACAATGAGATCGATCATACTCGGGCGGCGGTATGACTTTCTATGAGCCCCGTAATGCGCGGCCCGGTGTCACTCTTCTAACTAGCCCGTATATTAACTTTTAAATATAATTCATAGCAGCAGTAGTAGACATAACAATAGTAGTAGTAGTAATAGTAGTAGTGGTAGTAGTAGTATAGTAATAGTAGTGGTGATAGTGTAGCGATGGTAGTAGGGGTGATAGTGGATACCGTTTAAACGGAAACAGAGGGCAATAGAGGGGCGTGTTAGTACAGGGGTAACAGAGGTCGAGGATGTACGCCTGGAATGCGTGTAAAGGGAAGATAAACGCCCTCTCCAAGCTCCACTAAATTTCGAATGGACCTCCAAGACTTCGAGTGGATTTCAAGCAGAAATTAAAGAACGCACCAAGACCGATTATTTCTGTAATCTTGACCAAATTGGAATTTTCAAGAAAAAAATTAAAATGTCAACCTGGCGCAAAGAAACAATTGGCAGTATCCGTGCGAAAACGGGTGGTTCCTAAAATGGGGAAGTGGTCTAACGGAATATTTCCTTTGTCAAATTAGGTGGGAAAAATTCGCCGCAGGGGCTCAAAGTGAAAACAAATGGAATCATTTTGTACCCTACTCCTACGTACCGGGACAAGGTGTACGCACTCCAGGTGAACACGAACAAACGGGGTGGGAACAACAGCAGCGCGAAGGTGGCAACGTTAGCAATTAGTAACGGCGATTAGTAAGCCTCTCGGTAGTAGGTAGTAACAGGGACAGTGGTAGAAGTAGTAGTCGCCATAAGAGTAGTCCTAGCGATAACGAACGCGAGAACGATGACCGTGACGAGAAAAATCAAGGATGGCGATGACGTACCATTAATAATTAATATTACAAATCTTTATAATGTACATAGCGCTAGATATAATATGTTACATCCTGCTAAGGAGAAGTGTATAGTACAACGGGGGTAGCGACGCGTCTACGCGGGGCGGAGGGGATCCCTAACTCCGGGGAGCGCGTTAACTGGTCTCCGCGTGTGTGTCTTCTAGGTTATTAAATTACTCCTCTAGGTTCGCTAACGAGCATCAGCGGAATCGGCAACGGCAACGGCGACCCGACGGCCGTCCTTCCTACGATATATAATACATAGGTATTTATATAGAGCGGTATTATACAAAAACACATCACATATCGCGCGCGCGTTCGACCAGACACGGCCTCATTTATGTTTTCCATCATGTAGATATATATCGTTAAATAATTAAAATCACAGTAGTTATGCCCTCGCTGGCTCACTTAATCTTTACAGTATTAACGTCTATGCCTTACAAAGTAATTCGTGTATAAGGTAGGTGTGTACGTGTCTGTGTATGTGTGTCTGTGGGTGGGCGGCGGAGCACGGCCGCGACCGCGCGCACCATCTCCAGAGAAGCGGGTGGTGGACATCGGTACCTCTCTTCTGCTCTACGTTCGCGCGGCACTGCTATATCTTATGGGCGTGTACGTGTGCATATATCAGTACGTATATACACACTCGGGGTGTTCCGGGTTTTCTCGAGGGCTTCGGGGAGGAGCCCGTGCGCGTCGACGCACTTGTCGGGGAGACCAAGAGTCAAGTCGGTCGCCCCTACAAATTGTCTGGGCTGGGCGCCCTGGGAAGGGCTCAGCCGGGGAGAGGAGGGCACGCCGAGGATCTCGGGAGCTCGACGGTGCCGGCCCGTCCCTCGGGCACGGGGACCTCGCTGGGCGCGATCGGCAACCTCACGCAGATCCAGCCGGCGTAGGACCGGGTCGGTTCTCCATTTGATTGTCAGCGATGCAATCGGGGGACTACTCGGGGAGTCCCCCGCGGGTCCGGGTTGAGTCGCGGGTCGGTTTCGCCGCGCGTCCGGGTAGGCCCCAGGAAGTCGCCGATGGACGCGACGAGGCCTCCAGGAGGCGGCACTGGCCCGGCCGGGGGTCCACTTGGGAGTCCCCCGGTCTTCGGGTCTACGGAAGATAAGATCCAACGCAGTATCTCTTCTCAGACCGTGGCGATGACGATGAGCAGGTGCGCGATCTCCGCGACCCGGTGCAGGAGGTCCGGCGCGATTCTGGCCAGGCTCTCGTTTGCAAAGTCGCACGATGGGAATATGTGCACCACGTATGCCGGCTGTAAAGCGTACGGTGTTAAATGGTAAGAGATAAACTGAACGTCCTTCCTAAACAAATCGTTCCGGGTACGCACCTGCTGCGAGCCAGGCGCGGCGATGTTGACGATCCCAGCAGCCTGCTTCTGTTGCAGGTATGTGATGAATCCAGTCTGGAGATTCTTGCTCTGCTGCAGCACATCCAAATGGTCGCGACCGCAGGGCAGGGCGAGCAGCATACAGTGCTCGTTGTCAGTCTGAAATTCACGATGGACGGGAGTTTAGGAATGGGCAGATCTTTCATCTACAGAAAAATCCACCGGTGGGAAGGACCTTATCGACGCAACTCGTACGTAACTCACCTGCATCTTCCTGGCGACACCCTCGACCTGAGTTTGCTCTAGTCGCATCCTCTGGGCAATCCTAAGGGGAGGCGTGGAGCCGTCGTTGTTGCACGGCAGGCTGTCTCTGGCGACGTTGGGATTGCCGAAGACGAAGTGCATCTGCACCGCTGCCTGGTCGTTCTTCAGCGCCAGAAGACCTTGCCACATGACCGGATACCTCTGCAGTAGCATCAGCAACGAGTCTGCCTGCGGAGGTACCTGGGAAACATGAGGCGGGGTGGCGACCTGGTGCTTTCGGGGTGGTCTGTCCGGGGTTATGGCCCTGTCGGTGGGTGCTTCGCTGCCAGCCATGGGGTATTGAGAGCGCAAATGAGCAGGCGGAGGCTCGTAATATCCGCCTCGTGGTGGTCCCGCGGGTGCACCACTCAAAGCGGTGTTGTTCCCGGTGTATTGGGGCGGTAATCTGGTTCCGCTATGCAACATGTATACTTGAGCGACCTGGGGGCTGTCAGTAGTACGGTCCTGTGGGGTCCTGGTGCCACGTCTTAATTCTAGCGGGGGACTGTGACCCTCTTCTCCGGCCGCCACGGTGTCTAACTTGGGATCCAATGGTAGGTGAGGTGACCTGGTGCCCGAGACGTGATAGGCTATTCTAGGTGCCGTCAGGGCTTCCTGGTGGGCGCGTAGGTACTGGTACTGAAGTACCTGCTGATGCATATAGTGTGCTGGTATCTCTCCCCGAGCGAGACCTCCATAGTGGTTGACAACATCCCCCTGCGATGAAACGAAAGAGGCCATGATATTAATAATCGGTTCGGAGCGATAATCATTTAACTGTAGTTCTTGACTTAACTTTTCAACTGAAACTTATGTGACTTATATTTATACAATGGCTTTTACTCAGGTGTTCCAAGGATGATTACCAAATACTTATCTCTCCTATGGGATCACAGTCAATGTATATTTCAAAGTTAGGATTTCTAGAGCCACTCCTGGTTAGAAAAGTACTTGTAATAGATAATGCGAGCTTCTAAGTGGCGAAAGTCATTCATGTATTTTCTCTCTACGCAAAATCCGAGCTTTGGCGTGGGTACCTGAGGAGCATTAGCGTGATGATGGGCAGGTGGGGGCAACGGAGGACTCTGGGAACGATGCGGAGGAACCAGTCCGTACTGACTCCCAGGTGACGGAGCAGCACCAGCGCCATGCTATCGAAAACCAAGCAAGGTTAGTCCTACTTCTTTCCAACTCAAAATAAAAACATTAAAGTTAATCACTTCTTCCCGTTAACTTACAAGAGTCGCCTCGTAGTTGGATATGGGCACTCGACCTTGTGGACTGGCTGTTGGTACCATAATGCACCCGGACATGGAAACTTCTACCTTGGGAGGTTCCATCGTTCCGGAAATCTGGAGGAATACAATTATCATGAGTAAGATAAAATTAAGAATCAGAATTTAATTCCAACAAATATCTCTTTATGAGAAAAAATCGAATACTAAAATATTTCTGGTTTGTAATCTAGGGGAAAAAAAGTGTCGTGATCAATTCACCTGAACTTGGGGCTTCGGAGCGGCAGACCTAGAGCAGCTGCCTCCAGTGACCATGGCTTGTGGACCAATAAGATGAGACTGAGTAGGCGGACTCGCGGCATTGCCGGTGATGATGGGCGAAGCTACGGCCTGCAAAAGGTGCGCTTTCGGATTCAGAGGATGCGTCTGGCCATTTACGACCTTGAGGGCAACGGGTTGCGGGGTGACCTGATGGATCCTCTGCGCAGGAGCGACGACGGTCGGAACGTTGGGAGGATGTACGTTGATAGGTAATTTCTGAGGGTGACCGATAATCGTAGGTGGTTGCGCCTGCGGATGAGGATGAACCGCCTGCTGTTTGGCGGCCTGAAGAAGATGCTGTTTGGGATTGGGAGGAACGGCACTGCCGAGGACCGGCGACATGGGCTGGCCTTGTTGCAGCTGCTTCCCAGTGCCCGGAGGCTGCTTGGTACGTGGACTGAGGCTCGGAGAAACTACTCTTCCGACCGGTATCTGGAGGTTCAAGCCCTGGATGGTCGGGGCGGGTTGTTTTCCCACGTTCTGGACGACGGTCTGACCGGGCACGGTGGTCACAACTGGTTTGGTGACAACTTGTTGCGCTGGATTGGCCAGTTTGCTGGCATTCAGGACGTGAGCTTTCAGACTCGTAGGTTTGGTCTGCGAGGAGCAGACGGAAGTTTGCTGCGTTACCACCAAGACACCGGTGACCGGTGCCGAGACGTTGGTCACGCTGGAAGCTATGCTCGCCGTCGACGTGGACAAGGTGGCCGTAGAAACGACCGCCGTCGTGGAGGCGGCCTGGATAACCAGGGTAGGAGCGACCGAATGCAGAGGAAGCTGCGGCCCTGGAGAACGCGGCTTCCCGCCCGGTATCGATGGTGTTTGCCCCTTGGCCTCTATGACAGGAGACGGCTTTTCCATTGGCTTCTTCTCTTCCTGCGCCTCGTGGACCTGGCAGGTTCCCTGAGGAGCCAGCCTGGCTCGCGAGACATCCCCGATGACGGGACCGGCAGCTAAAGGAGCACGCGAATCCGTTGTCACAGGCCTGGTCGCTAGACCAGCACTCGTGGAGACTGGTATGTACTGACCTTCCTCCGACTCGCGCATCGGTATCAGCATCCCGGTGACCGGGTCTATCAGGGTCATGGGCTCATGGGAGGTGGGCTTCTGTGCTGGCAAGGTCCCACCCTGGCCAGTCTCCTCCGCTATCTTGACTTTAATCCCGTCGTGCGTTGCAGGTTCCTTCTTGGCCGGCTGTTGCGACCTGTGCACATCTTGCACCTCGCCAGGCTTGGCGAGAGTCGGCGTCGACAAGGTCGAAGACCCTGAAGACGCGATCGGAAGGTCCCTGTTCTTCTCCTCGCCACTGTCGTCGTTGTTCTCGGAGGCGCGTCGCGCGGCCTTGCGACTCCCTCTGGACGACTTCCTCGGCTCCGCCGAGGCGTTCGCCAAGGATGAGCCTCCCGTCTGCAGAGTATTGGTCACGCCGGGGATTGGCTGCGCCTGTCCCGAGAGGACCGACTGCTGGGCCATCCTCAGGGTGTTGTTGTGCCTGGTGCTCCTCCTGGTCGCGTGGACCGCCGCCCCGGTGGCGGCCGCCTTGTTCACCGCGGAACCGCGGACGACGTACTCGATGACGTCGTCCACGGTGCTGCGGCTGCCGTCCTTTTCGGCGAGTCTCCTCGACTTCCGGGTGTTCGCCGCTGGCGAGACGAACTCCTCGGGCGGCACTTCCTTGACGGCGGCGACCGGAGCGACGGCCTGCGCGTTGTTCCCGGCCACGTTCGGCCCTGGCGATTTGATGGTCAGGATGAGTCTGGGTCGGCCCGCGTTGTCCTCTTCGCTGTCGTCGTGGAATTCGTACACATCGGCTGGCAACTTGCTCTTCTCCTGGTGCTTGTTACCCCTGGTGGTCCTGCCCCCACGTCGATGAGCAGCGTTCGCCACGTTGCGTCCTCCTCGTCTGGTCGTCATTCCTGCACCGGCTGCTCCGGCGTTTCCGGCCCCACGACCGGAGGCGGCACCGCGACGCCCCTTATTCCTACCTCGACGCGTCCTGGTGGTCGAGGACGACGTCAACGAATCCATTTCACAAGTCTCTACGCCTTCGTCGTGGTCCTCGCTGGAGAGACTTTTCTTGTGCTCGGCATCGGCGTTCTCCGCGTCGAACCAAGACTCCGCTGGCTCGATCTTGATGGTCTCCTGATGGTCCCCGTTCCGGTCCGCACCCGGACGCGACGCCTCGTCGTCGCCATCGCAGAGGGCATCCACCTTCTTAATGACGCTTTCGATGTTCACCTCCTTCGCGGACCAGTAGTCGCTGTCCTCTTTGCTGTCGCTGGGGTCCTCCTTCATCGTGTCAATGGCCAAAGGATCGGTGTTGGGCTCCCGAAGATGGTCCAGGGTCTCTTCATCCAAATCAGCATCGTCAGGCTTGAACTCCTGCTTGATGTCCAAATTCTCCGCCTTGACGGTCACGACTTCGTCCTTCACCTGCACGATAGATTCCTCCTTCACAGGGATGTTCTCTTCCTTGACGTTAGCCTTCTTCTCGACCTCTTCAGGGTTCTCTTTAACCGATGGTGGTACTTCCTGTTCCACCTTGACGGATACCGTGACCTCGGTCGACGGCCTTCTGCCAAGAACCCTGGACTCCTCTTTCTCAATCGTTTCCTTCTCCTGTTTTACCGCTTTAATTTCGGTGTCTAGACTAGGCTTTGGCTCTTCGGCAACTTCCGCAATGTCCTGAGTTTCCGCTGCTGGTCTCACGGGTGGAGTCAATTGCATAGGCTGTTCGTGGTCGCTCTGAAGGTTCTGAGTCTGCTCGACCTCGATGGATTCTTGCTTCACGTGATGTTCGGGTGAACTCGAGGTCGCAGGTGGTTTCGTGTGACCTGGAACACCTTGGATCGAAGTTGGGGTTAACGGGGGCAGAAGATGATGCGGCTTGCTCGAAGGTACACCCTGGGCCGCGGTGACGATCTGACTTGGCACCGAGGTCACGACCTCGGTAATCGGGCACTGAGCCGACGAGACCGGAGAATGTGCTGCAGTGATCGGGGTCACCGATGAAGAGACAGGTACCACCGGAAGCGCAGCCTTGTGAACAGCCTGGGTGATGTTGACCCCAGGATCCGGCGACCTGAGCCCTGCGGATGGCATCTTATGGACCAGATGTGAGTGTCCATGGGCAACGATCACCGGGCTCGGCGTGGAAGACCTGGAGACCTGAGTCGTGGTCAAGAGCTGATGACTCTGAAGCTCCTGCTTTTGCCTAGGCGACGCCATGTTCCCATCGGGTATGGAGACGGTAACCAACTTCTGGGCCCTGGGGGACGGATGGCAGCCTTCTTCGGGTCCAACGTTACCGCCTACGGCGACGTTTACGATAGAATTAACGGTGAAACTCGAATTAACAGCAGAGGAGACCCCGCCAATAGCGCCGCTGGGGACGACCGGGACAGCCACGGCCTTGCCAAAGACAGGAGGCGTGACCGTCCTGGCGCTGATCTCTATCTTCGCCGTCTCCGGAATGTAGGTAGGCGGCTGATTAGGCGAGGGCACCTTCGGCGAGGTCGAGGCCTTGCTGACAGGCTCCGGGATGACCGCCGAGGACAACTTGGGTTCCTCCAGCCTCTGAGAGGGCAGCTCGTTGGAGTTCACCGGAAGCAGGGTCTCTATGACGGACTTGACTGCCACGTCCCTAGCGACCTTGATCCCGCTTCCTGGAGCAAGAGGTGGAACCGGCATGTAGGGTCTCGGAGGAATGCTCAAGGTCAGTGGAGGTAAACCTCCCCGAGGGTAATTCGGAGCCAGGGCACGCATCCCGGGTGCATGTTGGATCACCGGCTGCTGGCTAGCCGCAGCTGTGGAGTAAATCTGCTGGGCGGTGACATCGGGTCGATGAGCAGAGATGGGGACGCTGACGGGGATCCTGGCCGGTGGTGGTGACGGCTTGCCTCCGACACTTGGGCTGGACACCCTGGGACCCGGGGCCGTGGCCATCCTTGACCACTGTCCATTGGTTGGAGACATGGGCTGTGGTATGCGTGGTGAAAGCTGGCCAGGAACCATCGGCGACACTCGAGATGGCACCAACGGGGGCAAAGGTGCCTGGTTAGACGTGGACACGGAGCCCGAGGTCAGGGCGTTCTGCACTCTGCAGGGCGGCATCTGGCGCACCACCTGAGACTGTGGAGAAACCGACAATCTCTGGTACAATGGAGGTTGCGGTGGCTGTTGAGGTTGCTGAGGAGGCTGCGGTTGTTGCAATTGCTGGAGTTGTTGATGCACCTGTTGCTGGCCAGTAGGACTGGACAACGCCGAGGGAGTTGGTGCCGGTCCCACGGGGGGCGTCGACGGAGGCAAGGGCGATGGCAAACTTGGTTTTGGACTTGCGACCTGCGCCACCACCCTGGGTGCCTCGGTGACGACCGGCACTCCGCAAGTGACGAGCAACGGCGCCTTGTACTGCGTCAAAGGTGGTGGTGGTAATGGCGGTGGCGGTGGCGGTGGTGGCGGCGGCGGCGGTGGTGGTGGTGGCGGTGGTGGCGGTGGTGGGGGTGGTGGTGGAGGTGGTGGTGGCGGTGGTGGCGGTGGTGGGGGTGGTGGTGGAGGTGGTGGTGGCGGTGGTGGTGGTGCTGGTGGTGCGGATGCAGGGGTCCTGTCGCTCTCTGAAGTCACCACGATGGTGGACGATGACGGAGAGGCAAGGGTATCTGCCGGTGCTGCCGCTTTAGTCACATCCCTTGACTGCTTGTGACCATTTACACTCCAAGAATGGGCGATGACAGTAGCAGGTGGACTGCGTGTCTTGGCCGTGGCGACGACGCTGGTCGGCGTCGAGCGCACCTCCAATGGCGGTTTCTCTGCTGACTGAGGCGTCTTCGCTCCACTGGGGGCCTTATAGAACGACGGGATGTCCGGCGTCTTCGGGGGCTGAGTCAGGTCGAAGGTCTCGTAGTTGGGATCCTCCTCCGTGTCGGTGTCTATTTGCAGGTCATGCTCGCTTTGGGGAGTGTCGGGCTTTAGGTCGGCCTCCACTTCAGCCTCCGGTTCCTGCTCGGCCTCGGGTTCTGGCTCCGCCACCGGCTCCGATTCGACTTCCGGCTCCGGTTCCGGTTCCGGCTCTGCTTCCGGCTCCGGTTCCGGTTCCGGCTCGGGCTCCAGTTCCGCCTCGGTCTCGGCTTCGGCCTCCCCGGATGCGTTCAGACTCTCGACCGCCTGCTGCATTTCTTCAACGTCCTCCTCGGGAGCTTCGGTCGCAGGACCAGCCGCTCCGTCAGGTTCCGTGGCCTCTTCGTCACCTTCATAGGAGAAATCTTCCGTAGAGCCGCCGAAGGTCTCCTCGAGGAGGGCGGCGACGGCGTCCTCCGTCTCTTCCTGAGAGATCACCACCCTTGGTTTATCGACTTGCGGCGGGGGCGTCGTCGGCGCCGCCGCCTCCGGCTCCTCCCTTGCGCAGGACCCCCTCTCGGGGTCCCTCCTCTCCTCGGGCACGGAGATGCTCTTAACCGCGTTCTCGTGAATGGTCTCGTCGATCTCCGTCCCGAAACCAGGAATGAACTTGTCCTTCTTCTTTTCAGGCTTGGCGGGAATGCCGGCGAGTGCTTGCGACGCGACCCCAGAAACAGCGGTGGGCGCGATCTTCGGGATGGGACTCAGAAGAGCGTCACGCGACGCCGGTAACCCGGACGCCGGCGACGCCGTCTTCGGATGGATCTGACCAATACTCCTAGGTGGACTGGGCTCATCCCCAATGAAAGGCAGCGTCCCGGCGGCAGCCGCCGCCGCGGCCTTCTCGTGATGATGGTGGTGATGGTGGTGGTGGTGATGATGGTGATGGTAGTCCTTCCTGGCGCGCTCCTCCTTCGACTTCTTGCGCTTCTTCTTCTTTTCCTTAATCTTCTCCTGCACGGCGGTGGGCGCCGCCGTCTCGACGCTGTCGTTGTCATCGGTGAACCGGAAGACGTCGTGGTCCCGCTCGTGGATATCCGGACAGCCGCCTGCCGACTTCGGCGAGACAGGATGCAAGCCCAACAACTTCGCCTCTATCTCGCGTCCCGCCTCGGCCAGGTCGACACTGTCCTCGTCCTCCGGCTGGTGGCGACGCTTCCGCTCGGCTTTGCGACGCGCCCGGTCGACGTCGATCAGCGGACTGTGGGCGCCATCGCTATCGGACGCGTAAGAGTTCGTCGCGGGCAAACTACCGAGCCGATCGAAGAACGCATTCGGCGCCTCGTCCACGTCCGAGATCGGCCCGAAGATGTCCTCCATCCTCTGCGAGTCCCTGCCTTCCTGGCGACCCAGACGCTTCCTTCGGGCCTTGACCTTGTCCTCGACGGTGCGTTCGCGACGCTTTTCCTTCTTGTTGCGTTGTCGCTTGTCGGGCCTTGCACTCTCCTCGACGCCCTCGGCGATGTTGGTGCCGGTGGGCTGATTCGCCGTGGAAGTCGGCGTCCCTGGCGTAGAGGGACTCGTCGCGGTCGTCGCCGCGTCGCTCGCCGCGGGCGACGTCGCCGTGGACGTGACGGTCGTCGTCGAGGGTACCGCTGGTCTTGGGGGCGGCGGCGGTGGCGGTAAGGATGGTACCGGTCCCGCTGCGCCTGCACTCTCCGTGGGTGCTGTAACCGCTGCAACTGCTGCGATCGCTCCTGCTCCTGTTGCCGACGCCGTTGCTCCTGTCGCCGACACCGCCACCGCCGCGGTCGCCGCGATAGCGTTCGCCTTGCCTCGCGGATGCTCTTCCGAGGTTTCTACGGTCTTGGAGGTCGCCTCTTCCGGCACCAAGCTCTTCTGGCGCTTCTGCTTCTTCTTGTGACTCTTCTTCCTTGCCTCCCTCTCGTGGTTGTTGACCGGCCGGTTAGCACCCCGGAACGCCGTCGCGCCGCTCGTCCTGTCCTCGTCGTCGGAGGTTCTCACCTCCTCCTTCACGATGACGCTGCGCGCATTGTTCATCGTCGTTCCTCCTGACACCACGCTCGTCGGCTCCAGGGGATGGTGCTTCTCCTCCGTGTCCGCGAAACCCAGGTCCACGTCGCATTCTAGGAAATGTTCCGTCTTCACCTGGAAACAAGACACGCAAGAGTTACATTTATTGCGGGAAGGAGCGTTATGAATTAATTTTTCAAGCGAAACTTCTTTACCCGCGATGTGGTAATTTCACAGAGCCTTTATGATAGGACGTCACGCAGGATATTCATGGAAAAAAGCGTCGCCAAGGAGCGAGGCTTACCACCGATTTGGAATTTAAGTAAGAAAGAGTCTAATGCACAGTATGTGGAGTAAGATTCGCCCGAAAAAAATTTGTAGAATGAAAACTATGCAAACCTTGCGCATCTTCGAGCCGAAGGCGCCGACCTCTTCCTCCTCGCTGGTGTCGGAGTGAATCCTGGACCTCGAGCCCTTCCTGGACAAGGACTTGGCTCTGGCGGAGTCGGACTCGGAGGTGGCCTCGTCCTCGGTGAGGGCCTTGCTGCTGACGGAATCGCCGTCCCAGCTGGTGCTCTGCTTTTTCTCCTCGCGCCTAGCTCGACTCTGCTTGAGCTGCGAGAATTTGTCCTTGAGTCGGACCTGCCGCTTTTCCTCCTCCAATTTCTGCATATTTTTGGTAGACCTGGCCTTGACCTTGTCGTACATGCTGATGTAGGCGGGCTCGTCGTCGACGATATCAAAGATGGAGTGCTTTTTGGGTTCGTCGCTATCGGTGTCGGTAGCTGAGGGATGCCTGAGGGCCTGCATCTCATGGGTCGAAAGGAGCCCATCGTCCAGATCGCTGTGATGATGACCATCGCGAGGATGGTGCTGGTCCGCGGAGTCGTTCCTTTTAGACAACTCCAGCCTGGACAGGAACTCCTTGTCGGGTTCGCCATGGGCCACCCTGGGGCTGCGCTCCCTGGCGTCCTTGTCCTTGTCCTTCTCGGGGCGCTCGAGGCGGTTCCGCCTGCTGCGCTGCTTGTCCTTGCCGGAGTCTCGACAGTTCTCTCTGGCCAAGTGCTGATGTTCCTTCTGCAGCGAAGGGTGCTGCTCGGGGGAGTCCTTTGCAGGGTCGTGCTGGGTAGCGGCGATGGTCTCCTTGACCTCTCGGCTCTCCCGGTTGTCGCGGCCGTCGCGGCTATCGCGGCTGTCGCGACTGTCGCGACTGTCTCTGCTGGCGCGATGCTCGGTGCCGCGGTGCTTGCGATCCTCCGATTTTCGGTTCTGTCTAGGTCGGTCCTTGCTCTCCCTGCGGTGCTCGGTGGAGACCCTCATGCGCTTGGGCTCCTCCTCGGAGGCCTCCTGCGAGGAGCACCGACGCTTCCCGGTGAGCGCCGCCGCGCCGCCCGTCGTCTGGTGGTTGGTGGTCCCGGAGGAGGCGCCGGTCGGCGCCCCCGTGGGACTGGAAGTAGCGGAGCCCGGGACTCCGGCCGTCGCGCCGAGAGTCGCCGGCGACGCCGCGACCGTCAGAGTGCTCGCAGACGCCGGCGTCGAGGGCGTTGGGACGGACGCCGGCGAGCAAGGACGGTGGTTCTCCAGGGGCTGCTGGCGCCTTGGGGTGCCCTCTTCGCGGTCCCTCTTCTCCTTGTCCTTGTCCCTCTCCTTCTCCTCCCGGTCGCGTCGCCTGTCCTTATCGCGCCTCTCCAGCTCCTCCCTGTCGCGCCGTTCGCGGTCCTCCCGCTCGCGCCTCTTCTCCCGGTCGTGCTTCTCTCTCTCCCTCTCGTCCTTTTCCCTCTTCTCCCTCTCCTGTCGTTCCCGTTCCTCCTTCTCCTTCCGCCTCTCCCTCTCCAGGCGCTCCTTCTCCTCCCTCTCGCGCTCGCGCTTCCTGTCCCTCTCCAGTCGCTCCTTCTCTTCGTTCCGCTCCCTCTCTCTGCGACGTTCTCGGTCTTCCTTGTCTCGCCTGTCCTGCTCCTCCCTCTCCCTCTGTTCCTTCCTCGCGCGCTCCTTCTCCTGTCGTTCCCGTTCCATCCGGTCGCGCTGCTCCCTCTCGCGCCTCTCCCTCTCCTCCCTCTCTCTCCGTTCTAGTCTTTCCTTCTCCTCCCGTTCCTTCCGCTCCTTCTCCCTCCTCTCCTTCTCCTCGCGCTCCCGCCGTTCCCGCGATTCCGCCTCTTCCCTCTCCTTCCTCTCTCTGTCTCTCTCGTGCTCCCTCTGTTGTCGTTCCTCCTTCTCCCGTCGCTCTCTCTCCTGCCGTTCGTGCCGCTCCTTCTCCAGCCTCTCGCGCTCCTCTCTTTCCTTCCTCTCCGTCCTCTCCCTTTCCTCCCTGTCCCTCCTCTCCTGTCGCTCGCGCTCGTCCCTCTCTCTCCTCTCCCTGTCCCTGTCGTTCCTGTCGTCTCTTTCCTTTCTCTCGTGCTTGCTTCCTTCCTTGGGGTCCTTCGCTTCTCTGGGGTGCGTTTCCGCCTCCGCGTTTCCGCTCGCTGCGCTCGTTTCTCCACTCGCGGGAGGGTTCAATCGGTCTTCCTTGTCTTCGCGATCCCTCCTTGTCGCTGTCGTGATCGCCTTTTCGGCCTCGAGGAAGTCATCCTTCCTGGACAGCGACCTCCTGGTGGCGCAGTCCTTCCCCTTGCCGTGCCTCGACTCCCTGCCGGTGTCCTTGTTGGTCTCCCTGTTTTCGCGGGGGTCCTTGCTCTCTCGGCCGTTCAGGGTGCTCGCCTCCTTCCTCGACCTGCTCCGCGTGGCCTCCGTCGAGGAGGTCGAGGACGTGGAGGAGGTCGAGGACAACGAGGACGACGAAAGCGAAGACGAGGACGAGGACAAGGAGAGCGACGACATCGACGAGACGGAGGAGAACGCCGACAGAACGGCGCCTGTCGACGTCGCGGTGGGCGGATGGCAGCCCGTCGCCGGGATGGCGAGGGGTGTCGCGACGCTCGGCGTCGCGGACGTCGACGCGCCGGCCGACGCCGTCAGCCCGGGCGGGACGTTAGCTCGCGTCGTCGAAGCGCTTAGGGAGCCGCTCGCGCTGTTGGTGGTGGAGCTTCCCACGGGTAAACCACCGGTGCCGACGCCAACGCCGATGCCGGGGATGCCGCCGATGCCGGCGGCGCCGGCCCCGCTTGAGCCGATCACCGGCAGGGTGACCGGCGGCAGCTCGGGGCTCACGGTCTTCAAGGAGGCCCCGGGCGTGATCGGCGTGGCTGGGACCGGGTGCACGCAGTTGTGGACGATCCTCGAGTCCGTCTTTAGGACCGGCGACAGGCTCGGGATGGCCGAGGGCAGGGTCGTCGCGACGCCGCCAGTCGGCTGCATCGGCGGGTGACTAGGAAACGGGTACTGCAGGCAGACCTTCCCGGTGCAGCCGACGAGGCTCCCGGTGCCGATCATGGAGCCGACGCCGATCACGCCGGTGAACTCCCGGGGCTCGTACTTCTCGCTGAAGTTCTCGAGGCGCTTCGAGTCCTCGTCGAAGACGCTCCGCTTGGCGAGGACCGACTTGACGATGTCCGAGGGCTGGACCTCGTGGAGGTCGAGGTCGAGGAGCTTGTGCCGGAAGCGAAACCGCTCGGTGGCCGAGGCGTCGAGCTTGGCGAGCGCGTCGCCGCCGGCGGCGCTCAGGGCGCGCGAGCCGGACCACTTCTCGTACTTCTCGTCGAGCGAGCGGATGCGCTCCTCCAGGCTAGGTGACTGGGGCGCGGTCTCGCTGTCCGAGCTGGTGGGGCTGGGGCTGGGATGCCGGGGCGGCGGCGAGGCGGGCGGCTGCGGGGCCGTCCGCGGGCTCGCGGCGTTCGGGATGCCCGCCACCCCGGGCGGGCTCGCCAGCTTGTTCGGGCCGGCGCCGACCGAGCGGCCGGTACCACCACCTCCGCTGTTCATCATCTGCGCGGCGAACCTGGGCAGGGGCAACGAGAGAGGGCCCTCGTGGCTGCGCTCGCGGAACCGCCTCGGCTCGCTAGGCACCAGGTTCTCGGGGCGCTCGTCGACGAGTGGCGTGCCGGGCCTGGAGCCATCGTGGTGCTCGTGGTGCCGGCTCGCGGCGTCGCGACGCCGCTTGCACGGGCCGGCGCCCCGCGCCTCGCAGCTCGCCCTCCTCGGGGCGTGGTGGACGATCACCTTCCCGTCGCTGACCCTCCTCACGTCCATCCCCTTCCGGCCGGCCGAGTGCGCGGTCACCAGGAGGTTGGCAATCTCGGGCTCGTCGTCGTCGCAGAGGATGGTCGCTCCCTCGAGCTTGGCGCGCTTCTTCGGGGCGAAGCCCTCGTCGCCGCTGCTGTGGCACTCCTCCAGCTGCTCCAGCAGGTGCACCCGCTCCTTCTGCAGGTGTCGGATGTCCGGGGGCGGGAGCAGCGGCGGGGGCGGCACCGGGGGCTCGACGCTCGTCACGACGCTTTGCACCGCGTGGCGCCGCAAGGACGACGGGGGTGGGCAGTCGTCCTCGGCGACGATCTTCGTTTCGCCGATAACCCCCGGCTCGTAGTCGTCGTGGCTCGCGCCGCTGCCCTGGCTGAACTCGTCGTAGGCCCGGAACCGGCTGCGCGCCGCCGGCTCCCCGTAGTCCGCCTCGTAGTACGGGTCGGCTTGGTACCGGCTGCGCCCGCTGCGCGACATCGCCGTGGGGTGCGCCGGACTCGCCCCAGGAGTTCCGCCGCCGCCCGCGCCACCGCCTCCGCTGCCACCCCCGCCGCCTCCTCCACCGCCGCCGCTGCCGCTGCGCGAGTAGCTCGCCGTCCGCGCCCGGGGCGGCGTCTCATACCGGGCGAACCTGCTACCCGCGCTCGGCACCGTCACCGACGACTCGAAGCTCCGCTCCCTCCTGAAAGAGTTCCCAAGAGAACGCTCGATTAGAAGAACCGAACATCGCCGTGGCGGCCTGCCGACCTGTCCCGACGATTGCGAGTGCATTCTTGGCTCGACCCCCTTGCTCCCGGAGTCGAGGCTCCAGGTGTCGAGGTCGTTACGAGGGCGTATCGAATCGATATACCCGAAACACGTTAGGTTACGTTACGACTGTAATAAAGTAAATCAGAGAAATATTTTCCTTCGATTCTCCCCTCCTAATCGGGAGGGCGCAAACGGGCACGGGGGCGTCGTTCGATTAAATCCGACGCGTACCCGGCGGAGGTACATTTTCTAACGCCACGCGGTAGGAGACGTTTACGCTCGCGTCCTTATCGGCGCCTTATCGCTAGGTATACCTTCCGCGAGATCGTAAGACCAGTCGCTCGGCGCCCGGTTCCGGAGGTACGACTCCGAAAGGTTGGGGCGCCTGGGAATGCACTCGCATCGGTTCAAGGGAGGCGGAAGGTCGCGGGCCAGGAGTAAATCTAAATTCGCTACGAACGATTCGACCTACGAATCCTCTCGAACGAGTCATTGGACGATAACGGTAGCCACGTGGGCTGGGTTAGGGGATACTCACGCGACGTCGAAGTTGGCGGCCGGGGAGGGCCTGGAATCCCAGGGCTTCTCCCCGGGGACGCCCTGTCGCTCTAGGTGCTCGTAGAAGGCGTCCTGGCACTCCCTGGACGCGAAGTCGACCTGGAGGCGGCGCCCGCGGAGGGTGGCGCCGCGCATCTCTTTGACGGCCGCCTGGGCGCAGCTGATCTGCTCGAAGAAGACGAGCGCGTGGCCGCGCTCCCGGTCGACGACGACCTGCGTTATCGGGCCGAACTGGTGGAACTGGACGTTCAGGTACTTTTCGGAGACGCACTCTGAAACGCGACGAACGTCGTGAGTCGGATGCCTCCCGGGGCGGGAGCCACCCCCGGTTCTCGGGGACGACCGGGCGAGTCGGCCACCCGGAGGAAGCGTACCTCCGATCCCGTCCACCCAGACGCAGGAGGTGGGCATGGACTTGCCGAATCCCAGCTTGAGCCGGTTGGCCCCTAGGTGCTCGCCGTCCATGGACCGCATAGCCTTGACGACGCTCTCGATGTCGGAGTACTGGCAAAACGCGTAGCTCGTCGAGGATCCTTGTTTCTTCACGTCGATTTCCTGCGAAAGCAGACCAAGTACCGGGTGACGAACGGAGGAGGGTCGGAGATAAAGTGGGCGGGTCGTCGCGACGCTACTCACGATAATCTCGCCGAAGGGCTCGAAGTGCTTCCTGAGTTCGGAGGCGGGCGTGTCCTTCTCGAGGTTCCCGATGAAGAGGGTGCGCGTGGCCTTGGGGTGGTACTCGTCCAGCTCGGCCTCGTACGGCCGGAACTCGTTGTCCTCGACGTCGTAGCCCTGGTAAGGGGCGACCTCGATCTTGCACCCGAAGAAGAGCTTGTCGTGCGAGACCTCGAGGGCCTTCTCGACGTCCTCGGGTTTCTTGAAGCAGACCAGGGCGTACCGGTCGCCAGCGGCCCCGACGACCTTGACCCAGGTGACCTTGCCGTGCTTCTTGTACTCGTGGTAGAGGCCGTCCTTGAGGGAGGTGTCGCTGCTGCGGGCCGGCAGGTTGCGCACGCAGATGGCCAGAGGTCGGCGGTCCTCGGAGACGGCGGCGCCCCCGGGGCCGCCGCCCGACCCCCGGCGCGGCGAGCTGCCGGGGGAGGAGCTGCCGGCGGCCGTGCTGCTGCCTCCGGAGCTCCCGCTGCGGCTGCGGCTGCGGCTGCTCGTGCTGCTGGCCGAGCGACTCGAGCCGCTGGGCGAGCTGCTGCCGCTCCGCGATTTCCTGCGCTGCTTCTTGTGCTGTCGAGGGGCGCCGCCCGCGCCGCCGCCGACCGCCCCCGCGGCCGCACCCGCCTCATCCTGCTGCTGCTGGGCGGCCGCGGCCGCCGACCCCGTCGCCGGTCCCGCCTGCTGGTAGCAGTCCCCCGAGGGCGTCGCGCCCGACTGGCCCACGGAGGAGGAGGACGAGGAGGACGACGAGCCGTATCTCGTCCCCGAGGACTCGTAGCTGGACCACGCCGTCGGGGGCAGGCTCCCCCGGTGGCGGTCTAGGTGGGGAGGCGGGGGCGGCGGGCCCCCGGGCCCGTAGGGCCCCGCTCGGGGGTACAGCCGGTCCCTCGCTCTCGTCGACGTCACGTGGTACCCCCCTGGAGGGGGAGGCCGCCCGCGGGGCAGGTAGCCCCCGGGCTCGCCCCCAGCGTCCACCGCCGCGACGCCGCCGCCGCCCGCCACGCCGCGGCCGCTCCTCTCCCCTCGGTCACCCCGCTCGCCCCCGTAGAACCCGCCGTGGGAGCCGCGCGGCTCGAACGCCTCGACGCCGACGCCTCCGCCGCTGCCACCTCCGCCGCTGCCTCCGACGCCGCCGACGCCGCCGCCGCTGCCCACGCCGACTCCGGATCCATGATCGTCCCGGTCCCGGTCCGCGCTTCTGCAACACCGCCCAATGCGTCGTCCTCAGCTTGTTACTCCCTCTTACTCCACCTCGGGCGTCGCGACGCCGAGCACCCTCCTCGCGAACGAGACGATTGGAGAGATCGAGGTCGGGATATGTTCTACTAACTTTCGGAGGAATGGCTTTTGGGGCGGCGAAGAGTGCGTATATGTATCATTGGCGCGGATGAAAGCGTTCGGGCGATGCATGGTCTGATTTGTACTCTTCCTTTCGATTGCGAGGGATAACGTGGAATAATAATTGCCCGCCCCGGCAGAGAGGTTAGTTTCCCTCGGCTATCGACCTTGCGGTTTTTTTTTTTTTTTCCTTATCGTTTAAATAATCGCGATTCCTGGAACCGTATCTCGAGAAAAGGAGAAAGATAAGAGAGAAATCGAACGGTCCGACCAGTCGAGACCTTCGAGTCGAAGTGCCCGTGGAGAGGGTGATACGATTTTCTGAAATATCTCGGCACACCTCCAGATCGGCGCTCCGAAACGCGGAACAATTGCCGGGACGATTGTTTCGACATCGACGGCGTTATCGGAGAGATTTGACGAGATGTCGTTCGTCGTGCCCGCGATAACGGAATCCGTGCGACCTCGAGATGGCGCGACCGATCGATGTCCAATGTCAACAGCTTTTGGTTTGCTCCCCGTTACGAGCCGAGGTAGTTCGGTAGCTCAATTTTCGGCCGGGTAACCGATGCGATATTTGCCAAGAGAGTTTTTACAACGTTGCCGATAGCTGCACGAAAATGCAGGAACCTGAGTAAGATGCATGAATATCTATGCGCCATGCGTGAGAGAAACTCGAACTATTCGAAAAGTGAACTCGACCTGGACCATTCGGTGAAATATGTATGTCCAAAAGCTTCGAAAAACTAATCCCCAACGACGTCGCCCAGTCATCGGATCGTTACTCGAGAAAAGTCAAACCCCGAAGGTGAGTAAACAGGAAACTCGCGCAAATACGACGTCGAAGTCGACAACGATCAATTTTTCGTCTCTTCCCAGTGCCAAGTATGGATCCAACAAGGACACCCGTCGCCTTCGTTGAAAGAAAGTTCCGGTTAATATTACCAGATACGCCCAATTAAAAGATTTCCAGGTATCATCCACAAGAAACTCTGATTAACGTGACTAGGAAATCCATATTCCCGAAGTCTGGTTGAATGGTTCTCTCAATCAGATTCTTAAATTACTCGATAAATTTCTGGTAAAAAAAAAAACTCCAACCTCTTCCACTCGGAAATTCCCTTAGGATTAGCCGGCAAAAATGACAAAAGCAGCCAGATAGACAATGCCAGAAACAGCTGAAGCCTTTAACCAGAGAAATAATTGAAAATCCGATCCGGTTAAAAACCCGAAATTTTCATCCCTTCGACCGAACTTTTTTCGACCTCTTTCTCTCGATGGATCGAAATTCTCAAAGTCGCCATGAGAAGGGCGACATCCCGGGAGTTATTCCTCATAAAGAGAAAAAAATGCCGTCCTCTGGGAGGAAAATCCGGGCACGACTCGGCCGCCCCCGCGTAGCGGATAATGGCGAATGCAAAATGCGTGCGGAGGCCGTAGCACGTGTGCTGCCTATAAGACAGGCGGAACAGCAGCGCGCGTCGAGTGCCGGTAGTTTTAACGATGCGATGCGAGCATAAACTTCGGTCGAGCCCGCGGTCGGCGATATAACCTCCGGAGAAATAAGACCGAGTAGTCGATCGGTCGAAAGGCACGAGTCGGACCGGAAGTAGCGCCGCCTCGCGGAGCGACCTGCCGTCTCGACGTAATCGGCCACGTCGGCGAAGCTGCGTCACCAGGGATTCAGGGGAAGCGGCCATTCGGAGGACGTGGAAGACCAACCGTGAGCAAGGAAGGAATCTCCTAGAAGGAGGAAGAAGGATGGAAAACGAGCGAAAAGACGGGAAGATATACGTACATGTGTGTGTATATATATACGTCTATATACGGGCATATATATTTATATACACGTATATAATGCATATATACGTATGAGGAAGGAAGAGAGGGGTGCTTCGATATATACCGCGGTCATCGCGTGCGGTACGGTGCGCTCGCCCCCTCCCCTTCGTTCCCGTCCCCCGTCCCCCTCTCTCCCCCCGGTCGCGAGATCCACGAGAAGAATGACGAAGGTGGCGCCAAGGCGCATGCGCGCCGACCCTCTCGGGACGCGGCCGTGCGAGCGCCGAGATGAACCCCCGGCCCGGAGATTCCCCTCTTCGGGCCGCGTCGTCAACGGTCACCGCCGCCGAGAAACTTCCAGCGCCTCGAATCGATTCATCAAAAAAAAAAAAAAAAAAGAAAAAAAACCGCGATAGCAGAATTTTTAACGGTGATTAAAGTAAAAAATATATATATCGGACGATCGAAAGGAAGAAGGAAATCAAACAACGGTATCGATGGATGAAGTCTGCCTGGCGAAACCATGCGATGCAACGGCCCAAGGAGCCATTTTGCAGAAGTTAAGCCTTGTTCTCGAAATACCTTTTGATGGAACCTATGCAATTAATCCGATCGTTCTAATTTGTAGGATGAGTCTTTATCGAGATCGGAGACACAGCTCCCTTTGAGATGATTCGTCGAAGTGCGAGCGATTCGTGGAAGAGGAACGATCGAGATGGTTATGGCCGAATGACAGCTCCGTCGGCCAGCCGGTGGTAAGAAAAACCGCTTAAAGTCCCGGCCGTGGAGGCAGAAGCTACGCTATCGTCACGCTCGCCTAACCTCACGGATACGGCGCACCTGAACGGCGATCTCTCGGTGCGGACGCCGTAACGTCCGTACCGCGAGGCGAGATAATCGAGCGAGGGCCCCGTTATTCGGGGGAGAGAAAAAAAAAAGAAGGAATTCCACAGATCCGAGGGGAACCGAGGTGAAACCGGGAACGGACCCGGCCTCTTTGTGTGGAAGGAACCGTCTTTTACGCTCGCCGACCAGGATCTCTCACCGATATCGTCTAGGTGATTTCACGATCTAGGGTCTCTCTCTAATCGGTAATTAATCATTTTCATTACTTTCACAGACAATTCGCGAGGCTCGACCTCGTTTTCTCTGCATTACGACATACCGCATGGAGGCGTACAAAGAAAGCAGTTCGATCGGCTCGGCGAGGATCGCGATTACCGCGAAGGCCGCCGAGCCGATCGACCAAATCGAGAAAAAAGCGAATAACAACAGCGCATCTACCACGACGATTAATCCCCCACTACTTGTTTGCAGAAAGAACGACAAGTGTCTTATACGTATGACTTCCGTGTTATAGGTGGCTGGCTGGGGCTGGATGCGAGTCTTCCTGCGAGTCAAGATCAAAGCATCAAACTGGTGTCGTCATTGCGAGATCTTAATGCATCTACGGGTTGGGACGGATCGGCAGACTAAATCAGGAAGAGGAAAGAACGAACGGGATAACCGAGACGGAGACACTTAATCCCAGGAAGTCGAGTAGCTGCAAGTCGTGCACTCCACTTCCGCGAGATCTGGACTCCCGGGGTCGTCGAAGCACCCGCGAGGTATAAACGTTTACAATAATGTGTACAAACATGTATTCGATAATTTGCGGTACGACATCGTCCGTGTAGCGGACGCCTCTCGAGAGAGGCGCACCACGTTCCACTGGAGCACCGACGAGTACTCGGCCCGGCGCGCACTATTTCATTTTACGGTACCGTGGTTTTTTGTTTCGCCTTCAATCCCCGGCGAATTTTTCGCACCTACGTGCCACTGTATTCCAACACTGCATCCATTGGGCACGTTTCCTGTGACACGTCGAGTGCTCGTTACGTGGACGACTCCTCGGTGTGGCCTCGCGCGCTGCACCTCGAGGTTCCCTCTCCTTTCCGACGTTGGGCACGACGGTGCCGATTTAGTTTCTTTCCAGGGCCTTGGGACGAGTCGCAGCTACCCGGGGTGGTTGCAGGTGCCAAGGGAGAGAAAAGGCTTCCCAGAGTGCAGGGAACGGGATCTGGGATAGGAGGACATCAGAGAAATCGGCATATGCGGCGTGATCGCAAACACCTTCGCCTGCGCCGTGCGTCCTTACCTGCTGCTCTCGCCGACTTCGGGGAGTGGTAACTAAATTATAAAGCTACGCCGTGACTCGTTACGAGAGAACAGAGAGGATATCGTTCGATTTCGAGGATTCGTATCGTTCGAGGTCTTGCCCCCGCGGGGCCGCTGCGGTTTCTTTTCCTTCTGCGGAATGGGGAGTGCGAAAACGGAAGCTGTGGGCGCACCAGGGACCGCATTTGCCCGCCCGATCTCTCCGACTCGACTGCTTGTCGGATTAGTTTTAAGGTGAACCGACAAGGTTCACTTAGCCCGACCGACGATAAATTCCACGAGACGTGCTCGCCCGGGAGCAACCAAACCCACGTATTAAGATACCCACTTAATGGTTAGATAAACCGGTATAGAGAATGTGCTTACCGCGGTCGCGGCAGTTTTTCGGAGCATACTTCTACCCTGCTTATTACTTATTCAAATCATCCGCGAGTTCAATAATTCCCTCTAGTCTACACCCCATGACGCGAGTTAACATCCCAAGTACTCGTAGATTCCACCATGAGATTCAAAAGACGAAGATAAAGATTACTACTCATCCCGCGATAAGCTATTTAATTATGGCACGAAGATTGATCGCATGTCGGTAATTCGTTCGTATCCGATTGAACAGTGGAAAGTCACTCTACTCGATCGAGCGTGTCGTTAAATATTTCTCCGCTAAGCTCATTGATACGCTCGAACAAATCGGAAGCAATTATCATGCCTGAAATATTCACCGGGTGTCGAACTCTCCATTTACAGTTTCCGTTATCGAATCGACGAGCCATCGAGTCCAGATCCAAGCTAGATACTCCCTAATAGAACGTATCCCTGTATATCGATTTCCTCCCACATCCCGGGTTTCGCTTCATCGAGTGAAGTTTATTCTCTGCGGAGCGATCTCCGGGTTCGCACGGAGACACATTCGTCCCCGGGTGCCGAGTCAAAGAAATCAGGCCAACAAGAGTCCCGGTGCGCCGCGAGCAAGAGAGCGAGCGAGAAAGTCAGTGGTAAAAAAAAAAAAGAAAAGAAAGAAAAAACATGAGGGGAGGAGACTCACCCGTGCGAGGGAAACCTGTGCTGCAGATGCTGGGGTTCATAGTACTGGGTAGTAAGAGCTCGTTCGTCCAGGGTGTGCTCGGTCGCGTGGGCCTTCGCCGCGGACTTGATATCCATGAACGCCACCGTCGCCGAGGCGCCGCCGCTGCTGGACGTCCCGGAACCTCCACCCCCACCGACGCCGCCGCCGGAACCGGAGCCGCAGACACCCTCGGCACCCTCGCCAAGGGCCCCGACGGAACCACCGTCCACGGGGCATTCCTCGCCCCGTGGCAGCAACTTGACGCTCTGCACGCGTCCATACCTGGAAAGTGCGGATGCCGACGTTAATATAAACGGAAAAGCGAAAACAGGACATTTTTCATGGTACCAAAGAAGGCCTAGCATAGCCGAAATATCGTAGGGTTCATAAAGCAAATCTTATATCTTATTTTGAATCGTGATTTAACACTATTAACGCATTATTATACCGATGAATCTGGGGATAAACGGCGATCACAGGTATTTAAATCGATTAATATGCTTCCGGTAGGTAATGTGCTAATGGCACGGTCGTATATACAGATCTGATACCGACGGCGAATTTCGGCAACGCGAGGAGATTCTCTTAGAGTTCATTTTGTTTTTCTTTTTTTTTCCTAGTGCCTTTTATCGCCACAGCGCGGCGCTTCCGAGGAGCGTGCCCTTTCTAATCCCTTGTCGCCTTTCTGTAGCGACTTACATATAGAGCCACTAAATAACGTCCAGAGGATGATTTAGAATATCGCCCCCGTTCACCGGGTGCGCCCCGTAGTGACGTAACTCGGAATTAGAAAATTGCGACAGTGCATCCTAACCCATCTTGAAGCCAGACGTGAATGTACGAGCGTGGTTAACAGATTGCGAGTTAAACAGCAGGGGCCTATACGACGCAAACTCGTTAATCATATTCTTCGAGGGAAGCGTTAAAGACCGTAAGTATGATATAAGAGACATTCGTGAATTCTAAGAAACGATAAACTTCAGGGCAAGGAAAGATTTTCGAGGGACAACTGCCTATTAACCGAATCATGTTAGCGATCTCCCAGCAACGACTAGGATAGTCTAACATAATACACCCTGTGGAAAAACCATATACACGACGTGCAGTACATTACATCGTACATATACAGATCACCCGATATACGTAGGTATCATCATTCCATGTTCGCCTTGGATTTATCCCGGGAAAATCATTATAATAATGATCAAGTCTCCATTTCAGCCCACCCCGGGATTCGAAAATACATATCGTCGAATGTCGGCCACCATCCCCCGAGCATTGAATGGTTAAAAAAATGAGGACAGCCAGCAGTTTTAACAGTGAAAGCCCCGTCCCGAGCCCGGAAGTAGCGTGTAGGATAAAAACGTATCCTTCGAGGGAGCATAATTGTGTCCGACGCAGAGATCCGAGCCTCGCCTCGTCGAAGCGGGGAAGAGCGTGTCTAGCGATTCCGCGCCCGCTTTCGGCCCTCCGCGAGACGAGAGGGTTTTCGCGGAATTTCAAAGAGCGTGGGTGGTATACTCGAGGAGGCCTCGGTCAATAGGCAGACAAATGACGCGTCCCCGGGCCGGCCGAAAGAGAGGGCGCGCGTAGCTTCCGTCTCTCTCTTCCTCCTCCCCCCTCCGCGTCTCCCTCGCAGCGCTCCGAATCGCTCTCGCATTCGGGAGTAAATCTTTGTGTCGACACGCTTTGTTTTTATACCGAGGCCCCGAGGTCTCTCGACCGGGGTGGGAGACCCTCGACGGATCGGGTTGCAATGGTCTCCGAAACCCCGACCGACGCGGTCCCCGAGAGTCGGAAGGATTTGGAATAGCTTCAATGAAATCCCGATGACAAAGAGAGGCGAGGTAAAGGCCCCGCCCCGTTGACGAATCCGTCGTTCGACCCTCAGGAACGACGGAACGACGAGCGACCCTCAGGAACGACCGAACGACGAGCGCCGCGTTCCGGAGGAACGGCGAATCCGCTCCATATTTACCGCGGCATACTTCCTAAAGAATGGAAGTTCCGCGGAAAGAAGGGAGCCGCGATTAAACAACCGTAATAGGAAAATACTCTGCAATGATCCTAGATTTGAGCGTCCTGCTTTCAAATCCGACTACTTACGAGTCAGTTTCTTGAAACGTATGAATCGCGAACGAGTGAGACTGTTTCCCCTTCACGTGTCTTCTTATCCGTTCTTTCCCCGTAGTCTCATCGTTAGTCGTGGAACTGAAAGGGGGATTCGAATTCTGTTGTATTCGAATTTTAACCCACGAGGCGGATGCCTTTTCAAAGGGACGTACCCTAAACGTTTAATCGCATCTGCTGGTAACAAAAGAATTCTAGGATATTAACGAGGTCGATGTTATCTCAACGGCTGATTTTTATTACAGGGCCCTTTTATCCGCTCGCTTCTTCGGCTGTTTCGACCACGGAGGAGCACTTTTCTCTCAGGAAGAAGAGTACGAGGAAACCCTGCCGGCCGGGGAAACGCTGGCAACGAAGTTACTCCCTGAAGTCCGCGCAGATGAGAAACGTGGGAAGGGAACGATTTTCAAACGAGCGGTAAACTCGTTGGTGTTTTAAGGCTTCCATTGTCACGTGAGGCGTACAGAGCGTAGATATCGGCAGAGGTTACGGGAGAACGACAGAGACTCCGTAGAAATAACTTCTGGGAAGCTCGGACCGCTCGCAACGGTGGCTCCCACGTTTCGAATGGTTTACCAGGGGCTCTCGCATCTTGCTACGGATTCCCAGAGGAATTTCGAACGGAAATCCGAGATCGCTGCATAACGAGCGTTATTCCTCCTGCCCCGTGGAAAGGTGGACGACGAAGCTAGCTGGAAAACATCTAACCAATATCCACGACAAACTAAAGTACACCATGATTAAAGCTTCTCGGTGTTCAGCTCCGAGCATACTACCTGAAAATAAGGAAATTCATAATCTCCGCCCAGTCGATAATCGCCTTCTCCAGGATAAGGAAACCCCATCTTACGTTCTGGACGTAGCACCGACCCAAAAGAATTCCCCCCTCGAGCGTTCGCGGAATCACAGTTCCGGGTTGAAATTATCGTGCCATTCGGGAAAATCAATGATCCGCGATCCGAAATGCGACTTCCCGGCGACTTTGGAAAGCGCCGTTGGAAAAAAAAAAAAGAAAAGAAGAAACCAGCGAGAAAAACACGTAATACCCCTGAAAAGAGGCGGACACCCTTGGAGCAACGTTCGACCTCTCCGCTCGAGTGGACGAACGTTCCAAGCCGAGACAAGGATCGGCCGCCAAGGGGGCGTTTATCGTCGTCTGAAATCAACGACTCGTGGCGTTCCCGCCGGTCAAAAAGAGGAAGGCATCGATCGTTCGGCTCGCACAGGTTTTTCCTAAACACGGGGCACGTAGGCTCCTCTTCTTCCCGAGACAAAAGTGCTCCTCGGACGTTTTTGCCACGAGGCCATGGCGGCTCCGGGCGGCTTAACCGGAACGGCCGGGCGAGGGCGAGGGGAGTGGGGAGGGTGGGCGCGGCAGGGAGGGGGCAGATTACGAGGCGGCAGCGCCGAAGGTGAGACTTCGGCCCGGGAGGGGCGCGGGGGGTAAGGGGAGAGGCCCGCCCCTCCCCGGGCCGCGCCGAGTGAGGGAGGGGGGCGGGGGGAGAGCGCAGACGCGCTCCCCGCAGCCGACTCGGGTTTCTCCCGAGGAGTCGGCCGCCTCGGCTCGCGTGAGTTGCACGTACTTTCCGTTCTCTGCTCCCGGCGCACCAGGTCTGCGGGCGGCCAATCGCCGAGGAGGCCCGCCGTCTCCGTTTCCCCTAGTCGTTCGCGCGACCCGCACGACCGTTCGAAGTCCGCCGTTCCGCTGGGACTGAGCGGCCCGAGCGAGAGGGAGAGACAGGGAAACCCGAAGGGGCGAGAAAGAGGGAGATGCATTTGTATTTATTGCGTATACTCGGCACACGTCCGAGGACCCGACTCGAGGCTCTCTCTAGGACTCTCGGCCGTTCCCGCGAGATTGATGGATACGTAGACGGTGTGTTCGTTGCGCGGGTTTTAGATGGAACCTTCGAGATACCTTCGGTCCACTCGACGCCTCGAGTCGCCCGAATTGTACCAACACTCGAGTCTCGAGGGCGGACCCCGTGCGCGCGGTCGTCTCCGTCACGGCGAAAGAAGTTTATCCTAGATTCTGTAAAAGTTCTCCCCGTGAATTGGAGAAGCATCCTCAGGCGGAACGTGAGCCACGAACCAAGGATCACTCGGAGAATCGCCCTTGATGCAGTGCCGAGTCGCGAGCGGACCTAGAATGGCCGCCGAGGCGCCTTCTCGTTCCTTCCACAGACCTCCGAGCGGGCTCTCTCATTCCACGTCATATGCCCATCCGGCCGCCGATCGGAAACTCGACGTCGGACCGGGCGGGGAGGACCCGCGCTCCGATTCGCGACTCGCCGTCCGAGCACTTCCTGGGAGCGGTCGCGCCGCGGGACGACGCGACTGGAGTGCCGGAGTGTCCCACGTCCGTGAATAGAAGAGACGGAGATAATAGGAGCACCGCCGTAGCCGGTCTAGCAAGCGTCGCCTCTCCAAGGGGGCCGGGAGAGAAGTCGGTCTCTGCAATTCGCCGCGCTCCGCAACTGCGTAGTAGACCGCTCTTGCGTGAAGAACCGAGAGATCCGATCGTACCTATTTGGTGCCGCGGCGCGAGCCCCCACTCCGCCTCCCGGCGTTTCCCTTCACCTTCCCCTCCGGCCGCTCGCCGCACCGAGGCGAACGACGCGAGGGGCGGCTCGGAAAGAAGGCGCGCACGGCGAATGCCCTTTGCTACCGCCGCTGTGTGCCCGCTCACGCATGCGCGGAGGCGCGGAGGGCGGAGAGGGGAGAGCGAGGCTGTGTGCGCGCTCACGTACGCGGAGAGGGGTCGCGAGCGCACAGCGGGAGAGGGAGAGAGACGGAGGGAGCGTGCGGCGACCGGGAGAGAGAGAGAGGGGAGAGGCGGCGGAGTGCCACGGTGGCTGGCTGGCGAGCGAGCCATGAACCGTGCCGCGGTGCTCGCCCCCCCACTTCGCCGCCCGTCGAGGAATTTTACTCGGGGGAGACTCGCTCCCAGGCTCCGGAGCCGTCCGGCCTGCGGACGTACACCGTTGCCACGGGTTGCTTTACGAGAAAGCATTAGCATGGCTCTCCATAAACCAGAGAGTCTAGGTCAGACGTGTATCCCATCGAGTCGGCTTGCCCCGTAAGATCGCCTTCCTATTTTTCAGAAGGTCCCCTTAGGAGAGAAGTCGATCGGGGGGAGAGGAACGCTGGGACGAAATCGCGCCCCTTCGGCGGGACTCCGGGGAGATACGGAAATACGCGGAAATCCTGCCTGCGAGGGACAGGGGTCTCTGGAAGGTCGGAAATTCCCGGCCACTGGGAGAGTACGCAAAGGACAAAGTAAGAGCTCGTACCGTAGGTACCGTACGAGTCGAAGAGAGAACCTGGATGGAATCGACCTCGATTTTACGTTTCATCCATGTTCCGCTTCGACGGGCTCCAAATGCGCCGCACCCGAGCCTGTGGGCGTCTCGTTCGAACTTTCCTTCCGTTTGCCGTCGCGAGCGGCTATTTTGGGTCATCTTTTCCTACAGTATCTTTGCCCGATCTCCGTGTCAAGGTAGTATGTTCAGTTTCGAGCCTAATGCGTATACGCTTGAGCGAGGGACTCGTAGGGTCGATGGAGATGACGGGGGAAACTCTGTCGAGTTACCGTTTACCTCGTGCCCAAACGACGGCACGCCCGAATCTCGCGTCGACCCGCTACGCGGTGAGTATATGCCGTTTGGAAACTTTCCACACGTAGTATCTAGCTCTCTCGGCTGTTACACAAACAGCGGCCGCGAACAGTCGCGGCGGGGCTCGGTCCCATGTAGTCGAGCCCCGCGCGCGCGCGCGCTCCGTCTTCGTCGCATCCTCGTCCAACGCGTGGGGTAAGAGAGAGACGAGAACACCGCCGCGGTCAAAGGCGAGCCGCGAAAGGGAATAGTCGGACGGACAGAGACGCGAGAGGACCCGCACCCGTCTTTCGTCCGACGTCCTCGGTGGAAAAGGTGCATGGAAAAAGTCGGCCGCACGTTGGAGTCCACTGATCTATTTATTAAATGGAAATCAGGACAGAGAGAGAAAGAGGGACAAATGCTTTATCAACTTGAGTTACTTGATTTCGAGAACATTGCGAAAAATTCCATAAGCTTGGAACTTTTAAGACTACGCAAATTGTTGCGTACGCGAGGCAACGTTTCGTTTTGTATTAACCGTTGATACGGTCAATTTTTAAATCGCGCGCCTATCATGTATCCCTCTCTTTGCTCTGATTACGTTCTTGGTGACTAATATAACAGGAAAGGCCTTCAGTTACAGGTATGCATCTGGAAAAGGAACTGCACTGGTCCAATGTTTTCGAGTAAACGTGAATTCTTCGAATTCACCAGAAAAGGTATTAAACACGACCGGACAATATTTAACTTGAAACATCCGATACCTTTAATCAGAAAAATCGTAAGGGTACGTATAACGATCCGATTCGGTTAAAATAACCGGAATTCTGGTTCTTTTAGCCAGACCTTTTTTTTTTCTTTTTTTAGTTAAGTACAGCCATCCAGTATAGAGACCAGATCGAAGAAGAAAGGAAGGACTTGTCTTCCGCGAATTCGTCGCATAGCACCGCGCTGCTCTCTTCCTGTCTCCAATAACGTCGGCCGGCTTGGCGATCCTTCCCCGACGAACGGTTGATCCTTTTTTCGAAGGCCCGAGAGCGCTCTCTTTCTCTCTCTCTCTCTCCCCCGACCGAGGATAAAGGAGGACGGGGCCCCGGCGGAGACAACGAGAGGCCCGCTTTTGTTCTCGATCCCCGCGCGGTCCTGCACCGAGCGGACGCTTCCTCTCCCGCGGGAGAGACCCAGGGGATCCGGGGACCCAGGGAAGGCGAACAATGCCGTCGCTCGACCCTGGTACCGACGCGGCGACGTCGCGACGCGCTTTGGAGCCTCTCCTTTGGATCGGAGCCGACTTCAAGCGCGCGCCGGAAGCCGTTCGATCAGGAAAACCCACCGGGATGGGAATTAATTCAGAATAGTGTAGGAGGTATTTAAAAATACACGCGTCTGTTATTGACAATTTTCCTATATTTCGTATATCTCGCAGCCTGATATGATGGCTTGTTATAAGACAAATATGCGTGTATGCCTCAAAACTAGAGTACTCCGAATAAGAGCCAATTGCTCGATTCTGTGGTCCAAGACTGAGTGTCCTTTCTATACACTGTTCCTAGGGACAGTCTTGGTTTAGCCGTAACAGTTGTTTAGGCAATGATCACGTCTCCTCGCCCGTCATCCCTGGAATCGGGCCGCCGATGGACCTCCGATCATTTTGCCTTTGTCCCTTTGTGAATATTTCCTTCAAAAGTGTATAAATAGCAACCACCCATCGGCGAGGGGAAGCGACGAGATCCGATTATAAACGCTCCAAGATGGGCCCATCTTGCCCATTTCACCGACTACATTCTCATAAGCCAGGAATTGGCAACGGAATGGAAAAGTGAAACAGGGCAAAAGGGTTTCGATCCCTTGGTGAGGAGTTCACGGGAATCGCGAGTGATTTTAACGAAGCTTCTCTGTGATTCCGAAATCGATTGAACAATTAAGGAAATCGGGGAATTGACTCGTAGTCCAAATCGTGGACTAGATAGCTCGAGGTTGCCGGGGATCGAGTCGGGATTCGTTCGCTTCGTGGATGGACCGCTACTTCAGTTCTTTCGTATCGGCTTCGGCAGGAACGAGAGAAAAAGTGACCGACTTCGGGTTCGCCTCCGCGGCGAGTGTCTCTCCCCGTTTCGCGTGTACCCGGCACATGGACAGAGGACAGCGAGTGTGCGCATAAAGGGGGAAGAAGGGGAATTCCCAGGAGTTCCCTTCGTCCCGACGAGGGAGACTCGAGAGTCCAACCGACGTCCACGTAGTCTCGCCCCTCAACGGAACTCGAGCGCCTCGACTTGCAGCTCCCTCAACCGCGACGCCGACGCCGACGCCGCGTCGATTCGCCCGGCTCCCTCGGACCCCGACGCTCCCGGGGGACGCGAACTCGCAAGCGCCCCTCGAGACCGCCACCGCTTCGAAGCCGCGGGACCGAAAACGAAAAACAACGGGAAAGGAGAAAAGAAATAAATATGCCGGCACCGAGAGAGCCCGATTTCCCGTCTCGCCGGCTCGGAAGACGCGGCTGCGGTGGGAAGCCTTACGCGACGCCACCACCGGCGCCGCTGCCACGTCGCCCGCTCGCCCGGAGAGCGGCGCGTGGAAGCGTGGCCTCCGGGACGTGGCAACAGCGCTATGACTCAGCTCGGCTCACTCCCACTGTGCCGCGATGCGGCGCCCGTCCCGCCCCTCGGTCCGCGCCGGCCGCGAGCGCAGCTGACGCCCTTCCCCCCTCCCCCTGACCCGTCTTGCGGCCGTCCGTCCGTCCGTCTCCCCCCCTTGAATATCCTCCCGTGTCCCCGGACCTCGGGCGCTTCTTCTGTCGGGGCCTGCCGCGCCGTGCCATCAGCCGGTCAGCGCTGCACCGAAGGTCGCGCGGCTCTGTCAAAGTCCGCCGACGTTAATCGTGCCGCGTATATATGGAATTCTGCGAGATCTACCTTCGTCTAACGCTTGAAATCCTTCACGTTGTTAGACGTTTCGGCGGTCTTATAAATGAAAATCGTGATAACGGGGTCAGTTTAGTTGTCGTATTTATTATTTCTCGCAGCTGAACGGCAAGTCGATTGCATCGCAACGTTTTGCAACGTTTCGGCATAATCTCATATTTTTAAAAGGCGAGGGCGTCCTCGCGGAACAGGGCCAAGACGAAGAACCGAGATCCCTGGACCCTTATTTTTAATTATAACTCTTGTATTCTATGATTCATAATTTTATTTATTTATGAGGAGGAGAGCGGTTTCCCCGAAGAATGAGACCGGGCCGTTCTTGGGCCTTTGTTTTTAATTCTTTATTTATAATCTCTGTACATCCCATAATTCATGGGCCATTATTTTTATATTACGAAGATCTTTCGCGGGAGATAGGACCAGGTTGGAGTTCCTAGGTCCTTGGTATTAATCCCTGATTGTAATCCCTATACATTTCCTTATTTTTACAAGACGAAGCGTTTTCGCGGGAGAACAGGGCCAAGACGTTCGACCGAGCCGAGGTTCCTCGACCCTTTGCTCGAATCGATCGCCGAGCCTAACGAGGACGGCACTCGTGCCGAGAACCGCCTCGAATCCGTTCGAGTCCTCGGAGGACCTCGACAAGGAAGTCGCGAAACTGGGACGGCTCTCCGGACAGCCTCGTTCTTAACGGTTCGAGATATGTACGTCGTCGGCCTCGATGAAGCTTGTAAACGCGGACAAATTTCCGCCCCTGCCGTCACCTCCACGATTTGGCAACGTCGTATCGCGGCAAAGGACTTACGAAAGCGCTTCGTAACTTTGTACCTCTAATTATTGCTTGGAAAGGTTAAGGGGGTGTAAAAGCGGCATCCGGAAGCTCAATTCTTCATAAAACTTTTCTACGAACTGGGTGTCTCAAATCGTTCCATACTTTAAAACGTGAATATGGAGACCCTAAGGTAGGTCCTGAAAGTCGGGAAATTTTATTTTTTACAAACTATTTTTAAAATACCTATGAAGAAATTTGAAAAGAATTGAAGTTTCATGACTTTCAGGACGTTCCTTATAGTCTCCCTATTCGCGTTGTAAAGTTTCGAACTATTCGGTAGACCGAATTGAGAGAAAAGTTTTATAAACAAAACCCCTTCGACGCCACTTTTACATCACCTTAATGTCATTCCTTTCTTTTGTATTAAAAAACTTGCGCGATACGTTTGCCGAGGCTTTCAAAGGGTCAAAGGTTAGATTTCGACGGGGCTGTGGAATTAGGTTTAAACTTTTTCATCGTTTCACCCGTGTTGAAATGTTAAGGGACGACGGCCTATAATATTTGTTTAAGTCCTGTTTTAAGCACGGCTTCGGGCGTGCTGGTCGAGGGCGGACCGGCCTTTGGTGGATTTGGCAACGGTGCCTTGCACCTGTATTAACCTGGCGGGCTGGCCGGGGCACCGCCGTCCGCTATTCCTGCGGCGTTTTGCTCGCTTTGGGCCGCGCGGGAATGCATTACGCATCCTCTGGCTGCGTTGGCACCTCGTAAACCGCGGCGGGGATATCAAAGCGGACTGGTCGCCTACAAGCGGGGACGAGGATTCCCCGACGACGCGATCGCCTACCCCGGTCAATTCCCCGTTCCAGGAGACGAGAGCAGACATCCACGAGGAATCGCTTCGTCTATTTCTGGAAAATGGTGCGTCGAACCGTTTGGCGTTTCTTTACGAGATTTATCACGGCCTAGATGAAATGTATATATATATAAGAGAAGCGTATAACGTACGGCAACGAACGACAGACTTTGCTATTGATTATTTCCCCCTTTCCTTCCGATTTCTTATTATACCTACATTCCTTACGTTCTTATCCACCTAACGGAAATATAACCAGGAATTATTTTCACCCTTGTCCGTTAGGTCCCATTGCGAAGAATAAAAACAGGAAATATCAATAATATCCGTTTAGGTCTCTTGTAACTTTTATATTTATCTTATATGGCAATCGCGAAATTCAATATTGGACCTGCTTGGTGAATCTTAATCATAAAGGGCTTAACATTGTAAACGTTACACACCACAATTACTTTTTGTATTTAAAATTACACTTTATGTTCACGTAACAAATGTACACCTACAATATGTTTCTTGTGTGGATTTAGATGCTGAATATGATATCGCACAATGTGTTTTACGTTATTTACTGTGGCGTCTAAATAACCAATGATCTAGGGTGTAAAGGTACGTGGGAATTTTTTGTTCAGTGCGCGACAAGTAAACGGACACGTGTAGGATGGCAATTCCGAGCAGCCGCTTCCGATGGCGATAGCAGACCGGGGTGGATAAACCTACGCGTCAAAAGGGCCTTTAACGTCAACGGGGCAGTAAAAATGGCGAGAGGCTCGGCCCGGCACGAGGTGACTCCGAGGTAAAAAAGAGACGCGGAAGGCTCGCTCTGGCGAGGCCGTGCAAAGGCGATCGGGAGGGGACGGACCCGAGAGAAAGACAAGTAACGGTAGTCGGCGCTAAATGTAACCGCACCTATCGGCCGCGTCGGCCCGGTCGGGGTGCACCCTCGGCGCGCGACTTTCGTCCGGGAGAGAAAGCCGCCCGGCATTGTTCGCGCGCGCCTAGCTCTGGGCACCACGTGTTACGAGAACGGCGACGACGGGGACGTCCCGCGTGTCGGTGCACCCGAGTTCCACCAGGGCGACAGATATAACTTCGCTCATTTTTTCTTTAACGATACATGCATACACTAAGAAAAGAAAACACATTTGTTTCCTTCGAGGAAATTATTCCTAATATATAATAAATTCCTAATATATTATGTATTCCTAATATATAAAATA